GGGAAGAGCGGCGTTCTATAGTCGGTTTGTCAGGAATTTCAACGAAATAGCAGCGCCCTTATATAAGTTGCTGAGCAACACCAAGTTTACATGGACTGAGGCTGCCGAACAAACGTTCAACCGAATCAAAAACATGCTAGACGATCGTCAGATGACGCTGCGACTGCCTGAACCCGGTAAACTGTTTACAGTGGCCACAGATGCAAGTGATCATGGTATAGGTGCGGTATTGAGTCAGGCTGATAGAGTGGTGGAATACGCAAGTCGCGTTCTCACGGCCGCCGAACAGAAGTATTCAGCGATCGAGAAGGAATGCCTAGCAATCGTGTGGGCAGTAGAGACATGGAGACCGTACCTTTTAGGTAGACGATTTCACATCGAGACGGATCATGAGCCCCTACAATGGTTGAAAACAGCAAAAGACCCTCGGGGGAAGTTGGCTCGATGGATGCTACGTCTGCAGGAGTATGATTTTAGCATCGGGCATGTGCCAGGGGAGGAAAATGTAATGGCAGATTATTTGTCAAGACCGGACACCGAAGCCGAACTTCCAGAGATAGCGTGTGCAGTTAACGGCCTAGAGGGAGACCCCCTAGAACTCGTCCGACATCAGAAAGCCGACCCTAACCTTCGGGAGGTAATCAGGGTGATAAAAGAGGGAGATGATGTTGACAAGAGTAGAACAGATAAAGAATTAACAGTGTTGCTGAGGCAGAAGGAGAGACTGAGAGTGAACGGATACGGAGCCTTGACCTGGTGGGATGATGACGAGAATTGGGTAGCAATAATCCCAAAAGATCTGCTCCAGGAGATGATTCGTGAATGTCACCAGGTAGCGCATACAGGTATTGCACGGACAACTGATTTGCTGCGGCAAAGTGCGTACTGGCCAGGTATGAGAGACGATGTTGCACGATATATATTAGCGTGCCAGCGATGTCAACTAATGAAAGGAGATCGATGCATACGACCGCCATTGCAGTCAATTCCAGTAACAGCAGTTGGTGATTTGTGGTCAGTAGATGTTATGGGACCGTTCCCGCAGACGACAAGTGGTAACCAGTACCTGCTGGTGATGACTGAGCATGCCACACCATGGGTAAATGCCGTGCCGATGGCGGACCAACGTGCAAGGACGGTGACGGAAGCGGTAATGCGGCACATTGTGGCGGACCATGGGATACCAAAGATAATATTAACCGATCAAGGTCCCTGTTTCGAGAGTGATGAGTTCAAGTCCCGTCTAAAGCAGTTAGGTATCAAGAGAGTACGAACAACGCCGTATCATCCACAGACGAATGGGTTAACGGAAAGGAATAACCGAACGCTAAAGGAATGGCTAGCATCTAAAGGGGGTGACTGGGAGAAAGAATTACCATTAATCTTGCTGGCACATCGTGCCTCGGCACAGGGAACAACCAGGAAGTCACCGTTCCAGCTGATGTACGGCAGACGGCCGAGACTACCAACGCATGATAAAACCTGGCCGCAACAACAGAGATGGAATACAACAAGATTGAGAACAGAGCGGAGACAAGCAATCAGGAATGTGAGAGAGAAACAAACATCAGACATGGAAAAGTCAGAACAGGAGAGAAAGAACTGGAGATTGTTTGAAGTGGGAGATCAGGTGTGTAAGCTGATCCCGAAGTGGGAGGGACCGTACGTCGTCACCGAGAGGCGCGGCGCAGTGTATACGATCCAGAAAGGAAACAAACAGAAACGCGTGAATGCCAGTGAACTCCAAAGGTGGTTCCAAGTGCGCCAAGAGGGCGAGCCACAAACACTGATGAAGAAGACGGCTGTACGGAGATCAGAAAGACGGCGACGACAGCTTATTAAAAGGGGGGACGAGTGTGGTGGTGTGGTGCGAACTACTTATAAGTAGTATATAGCGTGAATGTCAACGTAAAGTCTGGTAGCATAATATGGGGGGAAGATCAAGAAAGAAACAGTCAGAAAACAATGGAATTTGTATGAAACGCATGAAGAGTGACAATGGATTGATGTTTGGCAACAGGAACAGTCCAGTTCGATATGATGAACTGATATTTGCAAATTAACGATTTACGATGTGGTTTTCCTATTTTACTGAGTAACTCTGTAATTTCGTTAAATACAATTCGGTTGCCCCACCTGTGTTCTCCTTTAGAAGGCCATTATTAGGATCGTATGAGCACTGGACGGTTGTTTCACCCTGGTGTAGGACTCTACCGAAGACAATGGTTTACGCGAATCAATAGATTGATCAAGGTTGATCAAGATTGATCAAGGATGACGGCTCAAAGGTTCAGAGGTTTACAGTTCTGACGCGAACAGGGGTCTTGAATGCTTACTACTGAAGAGTTCCCATACTAGGAGAAAACGAGCACCCAGTGCTTCCAAGTTTCTAATGATGATCTACTAATGATCGACTCATAATTTCATTTAAAATGTTTTAACAATGAGAAATTTACTAAGAATTTTAGATAATAATAGCTATTCTTATACTATTCCAACCTTTAATGAAGCATATTCGAGAAAACTCTATCCTGTTTCAGGTACATTTACTTGTGCCTAGTTTCATGAACGATGAGATATGTTAAGCGTCAGACAATCATTATATTGATTACGTTCAACATTCATTACATGAGTAATCATAATGTTGCGACTATTATGAATAAAGCTTTCTGAAAAAATGAATATTGAAAAGAGTGGTAATTCAAAAACAGGTGTGAACAGTTACCAGTGTATCTATCGAGATAAGTACGGTTCATTCATGTCTAATTTTTATGCTCGTCTCTAGGTATGCTTAAACTATGACGAGTTCACCTTAGTCGAATAACGAGAATAAAACAATGAACCAGTGTCCAGGTAGGCTACTGTGATCCCTTGACTAAATGGTATCAGCGAGAAATCTTGATATAGTGTAGGAAGTGTATTCTATAAACACCCAACAAGCACACAATGAATCCAAGCACTCAAATCGCGTTTAATTTTCTACTCTATAGAGATGTCTTTGGCAGAGTCACAAAAAATAGCACACTAAAATGACACAGTAACCAATCACAGCCAAGGCCTTTCCTGGTGAGAATGAGATCTCAAGGTCAACTGATCGGTCCATGAATAAAATCCAAAATAAAGATATTTATCTAGTGAGTTGTTGGGATCTAATATCGCCAACACTAATAACAGTGTAAGCTATGTTGTGTCCATTGACTAATATCACGTGACAAAACAAAATATCAATCAGAGTATGATACCGTGCTTTATTCAGAAAGTAAGTTCCTATCGGTCAAAAATTCTCTTCTTGCCCAGCAGTCACTAATTCAAGCATATGTTTCAAACATATGAAATTTCTAATACAATCAATCATACCTAGCTACATCAAACCAACAGACGAAAATAGCAATGATACATAAATGATCCGAAATGTGGCTGTTCCTAACAATTCACGACTATAAATATTCATTTATTTGGTTTAAACAAAAGACAAAAATGTCTGGTCATTTGAGCAGTTGATCAATAAAAGTGTCTGAATGGGAGAAATTGAGAGAAATTTTAATGGAATATCAACACCGGGCAGATTGATACGTATGAAATATTAAAAACAATAAATTGCGTAGTAAAATATTGATTTCTTAATCCACAATTAACTTGGAAAAGTATTAATTTTCCTGATAATAAGGCTATGAGTTAATCTGACGGCTTTTTCTAGTTACAACGTGAATTTTTTACTGTGTACTGTGGATGAGTCCAAGCCCACAACAAAGCACGTGTCTAGTACCATTTAGTTATCAATGGTCATACAAGTGCTTGATTCACTTAATAATATCGATAATGTGGTCACTTTCTGTAGAATCCAATCTAGGATTTGATTTAAGTAACTGGTAGACCACCATTGGAAACCTGGAAGCACTGGACGACCGTCTCGTCCTGGTATGGGACTCATCAGCAGTGCGATGTCACGACTCCTGCACCTTGCAGGATTCGAACCCAGGTCCTTCGGCACTGTGCGCGAACGCCTAACCTCAACCACTGGGCCGGCTTTCGACGGTATTAATGTCTGACTCTGATTGATCTACGGATTTTTATGCGACCTTACCCATTCGTCTTTGGTAGTTACTGCCTACACCCGACAGGGTTGAACTCCATTAGCCACGTCTTCTCAACTAGAACTGCGAGAATTTCCTCACGAAGCTCGCAAACTGTGAGCACTATTACGATATTTTCGGGCAGAGTTGATTTCAAATGTGTAAAAACACAAACCTCCAAAACTCTGCCCGAAAAAAATTAAGTAACTGAGTCGCATCTGAAACCTGTAAAAATGATGAATTTTTCCTAACTTTTGGTTATCTATACAAAAAACAAATGTCTAATCCTGATACGGAAATGAGATCGATTATTTCTTCAAAGTCAGGATAAAATACGAATATTATCATTCACATAAGTTACCACGAACCAAACCACACTAAAAATTGTAAGTAGGAAGACAGTACATGATTGTGTACACCAGAGAGTAGTTTAAATGAATAAGGCGCTTTCTTTCGAAACTAGAACAAGTTGTTTAATCTAAACCGAAATTGAAACAGATGTGTCAGTATATTCACGAAGATGTTTTACGACACGTCTAGAAAAGGAACTAAAATATATAAACGAATGTATAAACCAATCTAATCGAAGGTTCGTTAAAACAAAATTTTTACGCTTTACAACGCATACTTCACTAAAAATCTTAAGCTAATCCAAACTACTGAATACTTTTAAAGTAGTGTGACAAGATACACAAAAAAAGTAAAAGGGGAAGGAAATAAAGTTCCGAAACGTTGATCAGATTCAACATTGTTTATTTCCTATTTAACTATCAGAAAATTTATTTCTAATTCAGTGATCATTCAATTGCTCGTTTTTATCAGCTAGTACAACCGTTGCAGAAATTTCCTGTGAGTTATTTCGTCCGGTCAATACTTATAATAAATCAACACCATAATCCCTTTATAGTTCTGAATTAGCATATATAAAAATACAAACGTATATATCTAAAAAAATTCAAGATGTTAAGATTTATTGATTTATTTGACAATTTCAAAAAAAATTTATTGTTCATTACATTATACTACATCGTTTTGCACATTTTCGTTGACTTTTCTTTTCTCTTCGAATTACACGCACTAAAATGTACAGAAAAAAATAAATACATTATGTCATAGTCAGTGGAAAACAGCATTTCAAATAAAATGAAAATAATTAATTGCACTCCATATATATATATATATATATATATATATATATATATATATCTTTGAACTTTTCTCAGACAAAAAGCACTTGTGACCAAATGTATCTTACATACTACTGTAGCGAGTTGTTTGAACATAACACATGGATATCATATCACTTAGAACATTGGCTACCACAAAATTCAAGATGAAAACTGTTGAATAAATTCTATGTCGTACGAAATCTCGACTGATTTATTATTATGAGTTAGTTTTAACCGCTCTTTCTCCTGGTGATCGACTGGATTATGAAGACGTCGACATCTGGGGGGAAGCACGGTATCAAATAGGCAGCCAGGATGCAGATGGACGATCTGGACTTCGCAGATGATCTGGCTTTTCTGTCGCACACACAACAACAAATGCAAGAGAAGACGACCAGTGTAGCAGCAGCCTCAGAAGCTGCAGGTCTCAATATACATAAAGGAAAAAGCGACATTCTCCGATGCAACACAAAATGCACCAACCAAATCACTGTTGATGAAGATACCTTGGATGACGTTAACACCTTTACATATCTGGGCAGCATCATCGACAATCAAGGTGGATCGGATGCAAATGTGAGGGCGCGGATTGGCAAAGCAAGGACTGCATTTCTACAGTTGAAAAATATCTGCAACTCCAAACAACTTTCAACCAAAACCAAAATCAGCATTTTCAATACAAATGTCAAGATAGTTCTACTGTATGGAGCGGAAACTTGGAGAACTACCAAAGCCATCATCCAGAAGATACAAGTGTTCATTAACAGTTGCTTACGCAAAATACTTCGTATTCGTTGGCCAGACATGATCAGCAACAACGTACTGTGGGAGAGAACAAACCAGATTCGAGTGGAGTTGGAAATCAGGAAGAAGAGCTGGAAGTGAATAGGACACACACTACGAAAAGCACCGGACTGGGTCACGAGACAAGCCCTCACATGGAACCCTCAAGGTCAAAAGGAAAAGAGGAAGGTCAAGGAACACATTACGTGGAGAAATAGAGAAAGATATGAGAAGAATGAACGAAAATTGGACAGAATTGGAAAGGGAAGCCCAGGGCAGAGTTGTTTGGAGAAAACTGGTGGGTGGCCTATGTTCCATTGGGGGTAACAGACGTAAGTAAGTAAATGATTCGACGCGTTTTATTATATCCCGTCAATCACTAAGAACTATGCCACATGATATTGGTACTGATTAATTGGTTAAATTAATCTATGATGAAACACCTTGTTATACTTGATGAGACTTTGCTGCGAGATCTGACTTGATGTGAAGTTTAAAGAAAAAACAGACCGTCAACCAATACAGCTAGTGCAACTGAGTAAAATGGAATCCTGCCTTTTTAGTTTCATGATGGTTAGGATTATCAATGATAATAACTTCAAATAAACTGACCAATCACATGACTATATATGCGACTCATTTTACTATAAATAATCTATAATATATTAGCTCATTAACTCGATAATAATTTTTTCTGAGGGAAAAACTTTTGTTTATTTATTTAAGTCTACTTAAATTCTTTACAGTAATATGACGAGTGACAATAAAATAAAACTGTTTGTATTCATAAAACGTAATCAAATCGACATTTTCTGAAACTCTTCATCCGAAAAATATACTTAAATTTATTCCATAGTATGTAAAATAATATGAGTTCTAAGAACCAATCCATAAAATTCACACTTCTTTCAATTACTGTAAACAACTTTTAAAAATAATCGTTTAGAAATTCAATAATCAAAGTAATATTTTTTTAGTAATCGATATCAAAGGTAAGCTTCGATAGATTGACTAAAAGAAATCTTGTTCTTAACATACATAGTACATACTGAATGGAATATATCATTGATCGGTTAGGGTTACGCTTAAAATAAAATGTTTACACAGTATTTGTCATTGATTACTTGCATTTTGCGACTATCAAGCCTGAACTCATTTTGATTGAGATAAGAGATGTACAACATACTTTTAATGGTATCCGTGTTTCATACGAAATTTCTAACAATACAGTAACTCAGCAAGTGTGCAAACTACAGAGGCAACACTATACATTCTCTTGAAACCAGGAAAAGTTTCAACAGTGCGTTTGTTGTTGAACAGAATGAAAGATCATGTAGACACCCAACTTCGAGACTTACATACTAAATTCAGTAAGTGCTGTTCGTGTGCCGACCGAATCTCGACAGGAAGAATCAAAGTTAGTCAGTCAATCGGATGGAACTCAACACTCTACATCAACTTCTGTAACTACACGAAAGCACTTGATTGCGTGAAATTTCTGAGAAGATAGTCGACACATACGGAATTCTTATGATCTATTAAAGTGCAAAGTTGTGCATAAAAGGCAGCTCAAATATGTTTTTTACGTGATGATTGGTATCAGATACAGTTGTTTACTCTTTGTCCTTCCCCACCACCTAGTTGAATGCACTCTGAAAACGTCAACACCTCAGGAGAAGCACGGAATACAATGGATAGCTTGGATACAGCTGGAAAATCTGGACTTTACAGATGATCTTGTTCTTCTGCCACTTGCACGATAACTAATGCGGATGAAAACAGCCAGTGTAGCAGCAGCCTCTGAAGCAATAGTTTTCAACATACACAAGGTAAAAAGCAAGATTTTCCGATGTAAAACAGCATGAATCAACCGAATCATACTTGACAGAAAAGCATCGGAAGACGTTGAAACCTTTACATATCTGATCAGTATCACTGATAAGCAAGGAAGATTTGATGCAGATGTGAAGGAGCGAATTTGCAAAGGAAGGGCAGCATTGCTACAATTGACGAACATCCGGAACTCAGAATAGTTGTCAGCCAACACTAATGTCACAACTGTCCATACGAACGTCAATACAGTTTTATCATATGGAAGTTTAAATTTGGAGAACAACGAAAGCCATCATCCATAAGAAACGGGTGTTTGTTAACAGTTATCTGCTTAGGATACTGAAGATCCAGTAGCAACATAGAATGGATGCCAACCTACTGTCTCAGAGAACAAACTAGATTCTAGCTGAGGAAGGACTTAGGTAAAGACTCCGAAGGTGGACAGGACCCACTGAATTATACTCTAACTTGAAATCCTCAAGATGAAAAGAAAAGACAATGACCAAAAAACACATTACTCCGAGAATTGGATGCAAACGTGAAAAGAATGAACAGCGATTAGACAGAACTGGAAAAGACGGTCGAGGATAGAGTAGGTTAAAAAATGCTAGTCAGCAACCCATGCGCCCTTTAAAGGTGTAAATAAGTAACCAGTTAACTTTTATCGAAACACTTTCAAACACTAAATGCATAGTACACTTTCCTTCATTTGCAATTTTTCACTAAAATAGGAAAACCATATCGTAAACCGTTAATTTGCAAAACATCAATCCATTGTCTGACATTTCAATGTTCATGCGTTTCATACAAATTCCATTGTGTTCCCACTCTTCCTTTATTGATCTTCTCCCATCTTCTGCTGCCAGACATTACGTTTTCACTCGTGTCAAATACTACTTATAAGTAGCGCGCACCACACTCGTCCCCCCTTTTAATAAGCTGTCGTCGTAGTCTTTCTGATCGCCGTACCGCTATCTTCTTTGGTGCTTTCTGTGACTCACACTCTGGATAATCTTGAAACCACCTCTGCAGTTGACTGGCATTTACACGCTTCTGCTTGTCTTATCTCCGGATCGTGTACACCGCGCCGCGTCTGTCCATGATAACGTACGGCCCGTCCCACTTTGAGATCAGCTTTCCCCACCCTGATCCCCCTGCTATGCTACTTTTTATAAGTAGCGCGCACCACAATAAGACTGATTCACTAACTAGTCTGTTTAATAAAATACCATGAATAAAAATAAACTATCCTAATACTTTAGATGCCTCCTTAAAGCAAATAAACTTCACACTATCCAAGTAATATAAAGTTTATTAAATATCGAATGATGTGGTATTTTTTAAATGAACTAATAAATAATGTTGCATGACTTACCATTCTCTTTTTCATTTCGTTTGTCGATTTCATTGTATATTTGTACATCACCTAAATATGAGTTCGGAGTGATAAAATGTTAATCAAATGATCTGTATCTTATCAATATGTTATTACTGAATAAGAAGATTTGAAACGGAAAACCATGGTGTTTGACATAAGGTGATTGGTTACTTAGTTTGATAATAAAACACCTGTATTCAATTCCCTACTTATGAGGTGTCAATAAAATTCAACATCCAGCTTGTAATACATTCTTGTGAATAGAACAAGCAAATTACCGATGGATGCCGGCCCAATGGCCCAGAGGTTAGGCTTTCGCGCACAAGACCGAGGGTCCTGGTTTCGAGTCCTGCGAGGTGCGGGAGTCCTGGATGCGCACTACCACTGATGAGTCCCATACCAGGATAAAACGGCCGTCCACTGCTTCCAGGTTTTCAATAATGGTCTAACAATGATTGTAATCTAAACACTCATAAGATTGAGTTTATCTCTTATATCTTATATCCTAAAAGTTCACTAATTTTGTTGAAACGATGAACCAGTCAATGTTAGACTACTGTCGAAAACCAAGAAGCACTGGAGTGACGATTCTTCGCATACTGATAATCCACCAATTTTCATTGCTAAGTTCATTTGAGAATATTTGACATAAGACTAACTGGAAAAGCGATACAATTCATCTTATTCTAGTCAGACTTGTCAGGCCGATGCACAAATATTCCAATGTTCATGTCTGTAGTGAAATTAGAGTTATCTACTGAACTAGTGCGATTTTTTAGCTACTAACTTATTCAACTAGTCATAAAGATGTTTACAACGATTCGTATATCCATGTTGTTAATATTCAGGCCTTCAACTAATCGGTTTCTGTTAGGTTTCGAGTGTTTGAAGCGGTGAGTAGTGGATTTACGTCCCAGTGCGATCATCAACACTGGAAAGTGAGTAAAATGGACTGACGAGTCTATAAAAATGACGAAATGAGTGTCCTCGATTCCCCCGGTTAGCAGCATACCAAATATACCAAAACTTGTGACAAGGAAATGCCGAAACGATCGTTTCACGATTCACATATGCCACTGTAGACTGATGAGTTGTGGTCCTGAATACAAATACCAGGAAATTAAAAACCTTTTCTCGTAGCTTAATTTTACGATCAAAAACCAGAAAGTGTTGGAAAGGCAGCTACTATATCTTACTATATATGACTTTTCAACAGTGCACTCCAGGAGGTCAAATACAGCTACTTAGGTCCCTAATGCGAACAACTCATTTATTGAGGTAATTCCGAAGTTCTATTGTGAGAAACTGTGGCCTGTGTAGTTCATCCATGTCGTGGATTTTGTGGTGACCTACCAAGTATACTGGAAGATGGTCGCTAAATATTACGAGTCGGTTGAAATTAAACATGTAAACCACTAAATCTAGGTTCAGTAGCCTAGAAGTTAAGCATTTGTGAATAAGACCGAAAGTAGTCTGTTCGATTCCTTGGGAAGATGGAATACAAATGCTGACTACTGGTGAGTTATATGCACAAAAGCATGTCATATTAATTCATGTCAGTGATGATGATCTTGTGTTTGGATAACTTTCCTAAAGAAGTATTATGTTTGTATTACTTGAATAGTATATCATCATACGCTTGTGTATACCCTTTAACATGAATACGATGACCACATAATGTGAATACTTTCCAAAAGCAGAATTTTTTTACCATTTATTGTAACAAGATCCTCAACAACACAATCCAACTACTGTAATAACCTTGATTGCAATTTTTTTTAAATCATTCCTTCCATCTCTAAACACATACTAAATCTGCATTATGGGGTTGTAAAGATTATTAGGTTACACATTTTTTGAAACCATGAATCGATCAATGTTAGACAACCATTAGAAACCTGGAAGCACTGAAAAGCGGCCGTTTCGTCCTGGTATGGGGCTGCTCATCAGCAGCGCGCACCCACGACTCCTGCACCCCGCGGGATTCGAACCCAGGACCTTCGATATTGTAGGCGAACGCCTAATCATCGGACCAGTGAGCCGGTATCTAACGGTGTTCATGTCTAACTTGATCAATTCACTGCTGAGGAGTCCTATACCAGGACGAAACGGCCGTCTTTCAGTGCTTCCAGGTTTCTAATGTTGGTCTAACATTGATCGATTCACGGTTTCAAAAATGTGTAACATACAAAATCATCTCATATTTCATTACAGAGTAAATTAGAAAATAAATAAATCATATAAAACACACACACATTGGTGTGATTAAATTTGTTCCAATTCGACTAGCCTCCTCTCTGTTAAATTAATTAATGAATAATAAGAACAATTGTGCTGTTGTTGTAAAACACTAACTATTCTCAATAATCATAGATTTTATTGTCAATAAAAAAAATGTGCAAAATTTTAAAATTTCACGTTTTTTCGTGTTCTTCTTTTCCGAAAAAAGTAACTTCAGTCAAATCAGTAAACAAAATATGCACATTCTGCACACACAATAAAAAAAGAGGTTTTTCTGTGAGATGGTAGAGAAAACTTGTAGCTCAGGTGGATGATTGTGATGGTGGTGTTTTGTTCTCTGAGCTGGTTGTTTTGGTTGTGGAGCTTTCATTGTTCTTCTGAACAACATCAGCAGCACAAACTTCACATAGCAGAAGTAAAGCTTTCGAATTTCTCCACGTTTGACCTGTAGCTTCTTGTTCTGCTAACCTCAATCTTGATTGGTTGCTGTTGTCTTTTGACCTGTCGTTGTTTGCAACTTTGTTTTGCTTGCACCCAGCTTTTGATTTGTTTCTTGATCCTATGATTTTTCTGATTAGTTGATAGATTGCTCAAACTGTGAAAAACACTACATAGGACAAAGTGGACGGCTTCTTCATCAACTCCGTTTACGTGAACACCAATTATCAGTCAAACGACACGACAACGCTTCGCTTATATCAATACATACCGACAATATGGACACACATTTGATTGGAACAATGTGGAAATACTGGATAGGGGGAGGACAAAGAACACTAGAGAATTTTTAGAAGCTTGGCACTCAGGTCAATCAGCAATCAGCAAACACATCGACATTGACCCAATTTATCAACCAATCAGGAGAATCATAGGTGACACTGGATCAAGAAACAGATCAAAAGGGGGATGCAATCAAAACAAAGTTGCAAACAACGACAGGTCAAAGGTCAACATCAACTAATCAAGATCGAGGTTAGCAGAACAAGCTACAGGTTAAACGTGGAGAAATTCGAATGCTTCACTTCTATCTGAAGTTTGTGCTGATGATGTTGTTCAGAAGAACAATGAAAGCTCCACAACCAAAACATCCAGCTCAGAGAACAAAACACCACCACGAGGTTTTCCTGTATTCACTTAAGATTTTTTAAAAAAAATATTTACCTTTGTGATTGGTTTGTATTGGTTCTTCTGAGTTTCTTCGTTCAGGACTATAAACCAATTTAATGTGATCTAGTAAATGCACAAGAAATACAGTGTAACATTTTAATATGCTTATGTCATGCTTATGGATGTTCATTCATCCGAAAATGTTTATCAATACTGACTGACTAAGAAATGAGTACTTTTAGACCATGACCTGGAAGCACTGGATGGCCTGCTCATCCTGGCGTGGGAGTCATTAACAATGCGTATCCATGACTCCCACCACTTATATGAATCGAATCCAGAACATTCAGTCTTGCGCGTGAACACTTAACCTCTGAACCACTGAGTTCCACATTCAACTCTGTTAATGATTGATCCACGGTCTTGTGAAACCTCTTCCAATGTCCTCGGTAAGCACTGCTTCACACCTGAACAGAGCTGAACTCCATTGGTCACGGCTGCTCACTAGTGACTAGCTCCATGAGGAAGTTTCTTCCAGCCGTGGCTGTGCACTGCTGTTGAGTCCCATAGTAAGTCGAAAAGGCCGTCCAGGACTTTCAGGTTTCTAATGATGGAGTAACATTCATCGATACATGATTTCAAAGTGTGTCAACAATCTCCACAACCCTATAATGTGAAATCAGTACTACAAAAACGTTAGATTAGACGGTTTTAATTCTAAATAAATAAGTTTATTATCTTATCATACAGTCAAATGAAAAAGTAATAAAAGGTATGAGAGAAGATGTACAGCTTAGATGGACATTTACAGAATTAGTGAGTTCTGTCAGTCATACAGTTTTATTACGGAGATTTCTTTATTGTTCTGGATAAAATCCTTAGAGTTTACGTGACGTAACAGTAGGCCTAGTTATTAAACGTGCATTAAATTAAATTTGTTATGGCAGGCTTTGTTGGTCGGAGAAAACTGGTGTGCGGTCTATGCTCTATTGGGGGTAACAGGCGTAAGTAAGTAAGTAAGTGCATAAGTAAGTAAGTAAGTAAATAAGTAAGTAAGTAAGTAAGTAAGTAAGTAAGTAAGTAAGTAAGTAAGTGAGTAAGGCTTTGTTCATAATTCCTTATCAGCTTAGGTTTTGTTGTGTTTGTTCGTGGTTGTATTTAAGTTGATTGTTCTATTCTGTTGACTAGTTGATTTTTACATCGCTATCTGACTTAAGTTAGAAAATAATTCATAATAATATCAATCATTTGCTCAATAGTGACCAGCCTTGACATTAATATTAAGGTGTTCCAATGAAGAGTCATGATTATTGGAGTCCAAACAAGTTAAGTATGAAACACAGAGTATCGATTTCACCAGACGCCAGTCATAGCTCCTACTCACTGATGAAAAACTCGTTAACTTTTGAATGCCAGTTCAATATTTCAAGTGTTAGACATTCAAAATCTGAAGGTCCTATGCTTGATTCTTGGTGAGAAAAAAATAGGGGTCCATTAACAAGCATGATGAAAAGTTGTTTATTGTTCTTCAATGTAAACTATGTATTGAGTAGTTTCCAAAACGGTTCTATATGTTATATGAGTTGATTCAATGTGTACCTTTTTTCAGAAAGTCGATAGTCTGACTAATCATCTAAACCATGACGATACCTGAAGTTAAGCAAAAAATTACCACAAATCTGAGTATATTCAAGTCTTTCTATTCTCTCTGATGTATCATCAAGTTGTATATTTCACCGATTATGAACAAACAGATTCACTGTTATAGCTAATCTATATCTACTCTCAAATTAACTGGTCTGTTCCACAAGTTACAATAATTTCTAATTGTAAAGTGATATTAATCGATCAGTTTCACATATTTGTATATGTAAAAAGTGTACATGAATTTTTAAATGCTAACTGATAAAACAACCAAAAACCGATATCGGAAAAAGTATCTTGTTGTGTGTGTGCGTCTTAACATGTCGAGCCCACGGGGCTTGTCTGAGTCTTTGAACCAATTCACTAACTCATTCTGCGCGGGTTATTTATTTACTTGACTTTTTCAGTCGTTCGCTAATATTTTGGTTGTTTTTTTTCCGTTTGCTTGTCATATGTGCTCTGCTTACTTTGCTTGTCACAAATCTAGTCTATTTAGTCTGATCATAATTACTTAGAGTCGTGCCTCAGTGCATTGACTTTGCTCGCTCGACTTCTTCACTTTGCTTTTTACATTGCCTTGTAGGCTTTCTCATACTCGTCTGTCTGCTTAAATAAATGTATGATGAAGTCAATTCATCCACAAGACCGTAATTTGGCTTCTTATTTATAGGCGTCGCACAAACTCGGTTCGTCTAAGTATGATATACGGAAATTGAAAGGAGGATTTATTTCACAACATCCACCCAAAAAGGGTTCAGACTGCATGCCGCTTAAGTAGTGAGCCCTATTTTGAAACAAATTTCTTCATAAATAGCTATTCAATTAAAAAAGATTATAAAATTTACTTGAACCACCAGTATTGTCTGTCCTGTCTGTTTGTCGAACAATAGTAATTTCACCTGAAAAGATACAAATAAAACATAACAATGCTATGATAATATTTTATGTAACACATTGAGTGTATTAAAATAACTAACTGTTTAACACAATATATACAGTTACTGGAAAATTATTTCAGTCTAATTTATGACACTTTAATAGCGTCTACCTAATGTCTTTCGTAAAACGAACCTAAAATCATCACAGTTTGTAGTAATTCTGTTATGAATAAACCATAGAGATGAGATTGCTGTTTATTATGGAGCTGTATTTAATTCGTAGATTGTATTCGTCATAGTCGAGTGTCATTTCAAAATTAGGAAATTAACTGTTTTGTCTTAGAATGGAACTCTTCAACCGTACATGACTATCATCTTTCCAGGGATTGAACTCAGAACTTTCTGGTTGTGCGAAAAACGCTTACACATCAGAATCATTCAGTCAGCATCTAATGATACAATTTTATTTGCATTTAATTTAAAAATTGGCGAAATTATTATCCAACGACACTGGTGATAAATATTTCCTCACCATATTGGTGACGATTTCTTATTGGCTTTCAATGATGTCCCACTTTTTATTCAGTTTACGACAAACACAAACCATAAATAAAGGTAAGTTATTTTTAATTAATAGTATACATACATAACAGTCTATCAGCAGCAACCTACTGTGGCCGAGAACAAGCCAGATTCTAGTGGAGGAAGTAATCAGGAAGAAGCTCTGGAAGTGGATAGGGCACACATCGAGGACAGCACCGGACTGCGTCACAAGACAAGTCCGGACTTGTAACCCTCAAGGTCAAAGGATAAGAGGAAGACCAAAAACACATTGTGTCGAGAAATGGAAACAGATCTGAGAAAAATGAACTAGAATTGGACAGAGCTAGAAAGGTAGGGTCGGGACAGAGTAGGTAGGATAATCCTGGACGGCGGCCTATGCTCCTTTGGAGGTAGCAGGTGTAAGCAAGTAGGTAAGTGAGCTATATATAACAATAGTGGGTTAATAGCGAAACGGATAGAAAATTTATTTCATTGTTTAATTATTAGAGTTAATTAATTAAGTAGTATATACGAGAAAACAATTCAAGGAACAAATGATTATTGGGAAAGGTCAATGGAAGGTTGAAAATGAGTAGATGGTAATTCTAAAGAAAACTATCGTAGTTTAAATAAATTTCTTATACTTTCACATCAAGAGATGATACTTGAAAGCATAAACTGAATAACTGAATAACTTTATAAGCTATATATGCCTATATTGTTTCGGTATTCGAAAATAGTTTTTACTTGTTGCCTTTCCCAATTCTCTCCTCAATCACTATGGATGATGAACTTGTCAGATTCTACACGGAATTCAAATGTTGAGTTGACAAGAATATAAAGTAACATAGATCATGATCATTGAATTGTTTTAAACCTAAAATCGCTCACATTAAAATTCCATATGATTTCACTTTACTTATTGGAAGAATTATTCTGTGCACATTAGTGTATTTCTTTGTTTATGAACTGATTCAGTTAGAATTAGTGCAGATTTATTTTATTGCTGTACTATTGTGGTGCGAGATACTTATAAGTAGTATATGACGTGAGTAAAAACGTAATGTCTGGCAGCAGAAGATGGAGGAAGATCAAGAAAGGAAGAGTTAGAACACAATGGAATTTGTATGAAACGCATGAATAGTGACAATGCATTGATGTTTTGTAGCAGGAACAGTCCAGTTCGATAGGATGGACTGATATTTTGCAAATGAACGATTTACGATATGGTTTTCCGATTTTACTGAGTAACTCTGTAATTTTCGTTATATATAATCCGGTGGCTCCACCTGTGTTCTCCTTCTCTACACTATCATTGATTTCGTATGTATGATCAGTTTCGGTTGGTATGTGTGCAAGCTGTACGGAGTGTCCTAGATACAGTCATTATGATACACGTTAATATTGGATAGGTATGTTTCGTTCAATTTAGGCGTTATCACTTAGGCTGTAAATACATCCAGCTGATGAGTCAAAAATAATAGAACGAAATGTCAGCACTGAATTCCACTGTTAGTCATATTGTAGTGAAGTAGAACACAGGTGGGGCAACCGAATTGTATTTAACGAAAATTACAGAGTTACTCAGTAAAATCGGAAAACCATATCGTAAATCGTTCATTTGCAAAATATCAATCCATCCTATCGAACTGGACTGTTCCTGCTACAAAACATCAATGCATTGTCACTATTCATGCGTTTCATACAAATTCCATTGTGTTCTAACTCTTCCTTTCTTGATCTTCCTCCATCTTCTGCTGCCAGACATTACGTTGACACTCACGTCAAATACTACTTATAAGTAGCTCGCACCACAATATCTCAACTAAATTATTCTATTCATGAGTGTGGGCTTTAATGTTAACTTCTAAAAATATATATCGAAACAAATTGTTTGATGTTATAATATAAACACAAGATATTCATTTAAATGAGCATTGTATAAACTTATGAGAAAAATTTCATATTCTACGAATCGCTGTATTAAAAAGCTTATGCTAACTGGTATCCTTGTTATAAGGATATGTTCACACGCCTAATTCATGTGATTTCCTGTCAAAAAAACTTATACAAACTAAAAAAATTCAATTTTTTTTCATTGAAATTATGAATTGATCAATGTTAGACCGCTATTAGAGACTTGGAAGCGCTGGAAAACCATTTCATTATAGTATAGGATTCAGCAGTAATGTACATTCACAAAATTCATATGTGGGAATCGAACCTAGGACCTACGGTTTTGCAATATCGGGAACTGAATTGAGTTAGATATATAAACATTTTTGAATACCAGCTCAGTGGTTCAGAGGTGAAGTCTCGGTGCGAGGTCCTGGATTTGATTCCTGCATGTAAGGGTCATGGATGCGCACTACTGGTGAGTTCCATATTAGGACGAAACTGCTGCCTAGTGCTTCCATGTCTCTCATGGTAATCTAACATTGATCGGTTCATGATTTCAATGAAATTCAACTATCTCCACAACCATATAATGAAAATCAGCCTTGTTTGAATGATTAAAATTTCACATTCAACACACTACCTGGATTAGTTTTTCGTGGACTATTTCGATTGATTGAATTATCTTGTTTGGAAGAAGCAATTCGTGAATTAGCTATAATAATAAACAATGAATATAGAAAGTAAACTTTATATAAACAGAATTTCCAAAGAAATATTCAATCAATATTATTCAATCTTCTTAGCATTACTAATCAACTCAGTTATAAACAATATTTCATTGTTGTAATATTTTTCACATTTCAAAACAATAATCTTCATTGTTTCAATCAAAATGATCTGTAATGTTTACAAAATACCAATTCACATTTTCAATCACAAACATTATCTTGTGTACTATGTACTTTTATACAAAATAAACATCATTTTCTGAGAATATTTTGCTGAAAATAGATTTAAAGACGTTTTGTTTAATGAAAACGTATTCTCATCTATTTATGTAGAAAATTTTTGTTACGCTCGTCTCTAGGTATGCTTAAACTATTACGAGTTCACCTTAGTCGAATAACGAGAACAAAACAATGAACCAGTGTCCAGGTAGGCTACTGTGATCCCTTGACCAAATTGTATCAGCTAGAAATCTTGATATAGAGTAGAAAGTGTATTCTACAAACACCCAACAAACACACAATCAATTCAAGCACTCAAATCGCGTTTATTTATACTTTATGGAGACGTCTTTGGGACAGTCACAAAAATAGCACACTAAAATCACAGTAACCAATCACAGTCAAGGATTTTCCTGGTGATAAATGTAATCTCAAGGTCCACCGATCGGTCCATGAAATAAATCCAAAATAAAGATATTTATCGAGCGATTTCTGAGGATCTAACATTCCCAACACTCCTCCCCTTTTTAATAGCGTGTGCTCCTAGGGTCGACTTGCATCTTGACTGTTGTTCACCGCTGTCTGAGAGTATATCTTCGGGAATGGAGATCAGCTTGTGACTGAGTCTCTACTCGTGAGGGGGCTGCCGGTAGGTTGAAGGTATCAAGCAAGATGTCAAGGGGAAGATTTTCTGCTCTTGATGGACGATCTGGGGCTAACCGTTTGCGTATCTGGTTTCGATGGCGTGACCACCTTTCGCCTCCGACCTCTACTTCGTACATAACTCGCCCAACTCTTCTGATCACCCAGGGACTATGATTTGTTCTGTAGTCACGGGCGAACACAGGGATTTGTCTCTACTGATGTTGGTGCATTAATCGGAAGCATCAGGCTGTGGATCGTTTTTAGTCTTCTTCCCATCAGGATTTCTGCTGGGGACTTTTGCTCCGGTAACAACTCATTTGGTGTTGTTCGATAGACCTACAAGAAATTTTGTAACACATCGGCTGCTATAAGACTACTGGGGGGTGAGTGCGGGGGCTGCTTATGTGCTGTGAGTGATTGAATTAATACTGATGAAGTTATATGATAGCGTCAATCCTCAGAAGGTTATGTGACGGTAGATATTCCATAAACTCTTCGTCCTGATCACTATTACTCTAAAACGCGTAGAGCTGTTAAAGTTATCAAAAATGGTCAATACAGTTATCGAATAATTTAAACGACTAACATTGAAGCTAGTAGAAATGAATATGTGAGTAGGTGGTGGGCAATGCTTACATGCACACATGCTCATCATACAATCTTAACCATTATAAAAACACTGTGGTGTTGATAGGTTGTTGTACTAATGACGCTCTGTTAAAACATATTATTAAAATGGTTTAATCACGTTAAATGTAAACAAACTCAAGTGCAGTGAGGTGCTTGGTTATTCGAAGTAACCTTGAAAGTATATTTCTTTCTTAGTTGATAAACAAATGAAAATAAAAGTACAATGAATCAGTAAATAAACAATGTAATAAACAGATTGTTTTACCGAATTTCCAAAATATGGACTTATTGAATATTGAATTTTCTATGTAGCCACTTACTCACATAGAAGAGTCATTTTATACTTTTGATCTATTTCTGTGGTGATGAATATTTTGATCAACAATTGCATATAATCTTTATGATTTCGTTGTGAAATTAATATTACTGCAAAATAATCTGATATTATTGTTGGGGATGTTAGATCCCCAAAACTCGCTTGATAAATGCCTTATTTTGGATTTCACGTTTCCGGGCATGGGCCGATCAGTTGACCTTGAGATTTCATTTCCCACCAGGAAAATCCATGGCTGTGATTGGCTGCTGTGTATTTTAGTGTGCTATTTTCGTAACTGTCCTAAGGACGTTTCTATGATGTATAAATAAACGAGAGTTGTGTGCTTGATTGTGCTGTGATTGCTGTGTGTTTGTAGGATATACTTTCTACGCTTACCAAGACTTCGTTTTACAGTTTGGGATTCAAGGTAGCCTATTTGGACGCTGGTAATTGTCTCGTTCTAGTTTATCGACTAAGGTGAACTCGTCATAGCATCAAGCGTACCAAGTGACGAACATAAAAATTATGTTAGCCACAACCTTTGGTTCACTGTATATACGAGGATGATCGAGGTGTATAAACTGGACATAAGCAAAAACATTATAAGTCAAATCGAAGTTTACTTTGTAGAAATATTAAATGATCAGTAATCAGACGAATAAGTTACTGTATCACCATTTCGAGAGTCTTAACGATGTTGTCTCCTTTTTATCACAGCGAAACTGAGCCCTCCTCTTTTTATTCAAGGTGCTTTGTTTGCTAAATGCAACCATGTTATAGACAGTTTTACGCTAGCTATTACATTTTACCATAAAATGTTGAAATGACTAACTTTAACCTAATTACTTCAGTAGTTTGGTGTGTTCTAACTATCTCAGTTTAATCTGTTTAGCCTACAGCTGATGTTCACTAATAAATTCTACGATTTTTAAAGCATCTCTAATCTCTTATTAGTTGTTTTTTAAAACTTTTGAACTGTTCTCGAAAAAGTGCATTGTTATCGAAGGCATAAATTGTACATACTCATCACAATTCGTCTATCAAAAAAACCACGTTTTATTTAGTTATGATAAAAAGCTAACTTACGAGTTGATTGTTTACGTGTAGGTTGAGGTACATTTTCTTGAAACTGACCCTGTATATTACCAGCCGGTTCATAACGTCCTACTATATACACGTGATGTCCATCAATTGATTTTTGAATGCCAAATCCTGCTCTTGATGTATTCTTCCAGACAACCTGAGTAAAATGACCTGATATTAATTTTAAAAGAGTAAAACAATTATAATTATTATTACAGCGTTTTGTACTGCTGTAACGAGGAAAACAAACGAAAGTGATAAATTAGACGATGTATTCTTTGAAACATTATTATCCGAGTGCTTCTAATTAAAATCTTTAACAGTTGGGTTATGCATTCTACATGTTATCTTGATCTTCAGCTTTTGTTTGATGTATGAATAGTCACTATATATTATTCTGTTCCCATAGCAAGTTAACGGTGAGCTTGATATTCTGATCATTATGTTAAATGCTTTTACCTCGAAACCCATTGTATTTCTTATTCTATCTTGTGCCCTGAGCATCATATATATATACATATACTGAGCCTTGTGTTATTTGAGTTGACGCCGAACGTCATTTTAATCCGTTCCTCAGATTTCAACTGCTGTTACTTCCTTTACATTTTTCTAATCAATCAACCTTCGTTGTAGTAGATTTTTAGTCAATGCATAGATTGGTTTCTGCGCTTGGAGTGAAACTAGCCACAGTCGAATTCATACATTCTGTCTCAAGGTTAAACTGAATAGACCTGCTTGCCCAGAACAACTACCAGACCCGAAAAGATTTGAAAGCGATAAGTTCTAACCCCTGAACACATACACACACAGAACTGACCGTTTGACCGAGAAGACAAAGATCAGAAATGAAGGCTTATTTGACTACCGAGCAATTATCAACAAATACTCGTGAATATACATTCACTCATTTCCATAGGAAATAAAGCCATTTGTGGTGGTGGTGTTTCGTTCTCAGAGCTGGGTGTTTTGGTTGTGGAGCTTTCATTGTTCTTCTACTGAACAACATCATCAGCACAAACTTCAGATAGAAGTGAAGCATTCGAATTTCGCCATGTTTGACTTGTAGCTTGTTCTGCGAACCTCGATCTTGATTAGTTGCTGTTGACCTTTGACCTGTCGTTGTTTACACCTTTGTTTTGATTGCATACCCCTTTTGATCTGTTTCTTGATCCTATGTCACCTATGATTTTTCTGATTGGTTGATGTCGATGTGTTTGTTGATTGCTGATTGACCTGAGTTCCAAGCTTCTAAAAATTCCCTAGTGTTCTTTGTCCTCCCCCTACCCAGTATTTCCACATTGTTCCAATCAAATGTGTGTCCATAATTGTCGGTTGTATTGATATGAGCGAAGAGTTGTCGTGGCGTTTGACTTCTAATTGGTGTTCACGTGAACTAAGCTGAAGAGGCCGTCCACTTTGTCCTATGTAATGTTTTTCACAATCTGAGCAATTTATTTTGGTTTTTCTTCATTTGTCATTTTGTCCTTTGGTCTACACAGGATTGATTGAAGTGACTCTGTTGTTTCGTGTGCCACACCCAGTCCAAATGGTTTCCGTAGTCGTGCTGTATGCTCCGATATGTCTTGATGTACGGTAGGATGATCTGTTTATTGGTTCCAGTACTTGGTTTCGCTTCTGATGATGGTTCGGTTGATGTTTTTTGATGAAGTTGCGTGGATAGCCATTCTTTTGGAAGATAGTCATCAGGTGCTTTTCCTCGTTTTTTAGTGCTTCGTATGTGCTGCAGTGTGTCTTCACTCTCTTGAAGGAAGTTTGTATGCAGTTAACTTTGCGGGTTCTTGGGTTGTTGCTATCGTAGTTGAGAATTACGTCTGTATGGGTTGGCTTCCGAAATACTTGAGTTTCCAGTTCTCCAACGTTAGTTCTGGTGATTAGTACATGAAGCTACAACAAGCTACAGGTCAAATGTGGAGAAATTCGAATGCTTCACTTCTGCTATCTGAAGTTTGTGCTGATGATGTTGTTCTGAAGAACAATGAAAGCTCCACAACCAAAACAACCTGCTCAGAGAACCAAACACCACCACCACAATCATCCAACTGAGGTACAAATCTTCTCCACCATCTCATAGAGCCATTTATTAGCCAATGATAGGAATTCTTCCTTTAGAATTATTTCCTAATAGTTGTCCAATGAACTTCTCGTTGGGTCACTTCTGATTGGCTCGGTAAATGATCTGTCTTTTTTGAAAGTGATATTACTTGGTGATATTACAACTTGACGATAAGGCAAGATAATAGGAATGTTAGTGTTTGGTTTGTAGAAAGTAGAAGAAAAGTTAGAACAAATGACAAACGAAAACAAGTTGAAAATAAATTTGTTGAGCTCTGTATAACCAAGAACAAACATTTTTGCATCTTATTAACAATAGTTGTTAGTATCAAAGAGATTGTTTTAATGTTTGTCTTAGCATACCCAACTCTGTAATTAAGGAATTTGGGTCACTCGGTTATTGTAATTATTTGAAAGACTATGTCAGTAAAATACAAAAATGAACCTTACTTCTTCTTATCACACATATCTGAACTCTTCTGAGTACTTAAGGATTCAAATAAAATTTTCCGCCTGTTTTTATACGTATAATCAAGCTTGTCTAGTTCAATGTATAAGACTTTCTGTTGGAGATGTTAGATCCCCAGAACTCGCTTCATAAATATCTTTATTTTGGATTTATTTCATGGACCGATCTGTTGACCTTGATATCACATTTCTCACCAGGAAAATCCTTGACTGTGATTGATTACTGTGTCATTTAAGTGTTCTATTTTTGTGACTCTCCCAAGAACGTCTCTATAGAGTATAAATAAACGCGATTTAGGTGCTTGAATTCATTGTGTGCTTGTTGGGTGTTTGTAGAATACACTTTCTACGCTATATCATGATTTCTCGCTGATACAATTTGGTCAAGGGATCACAGTAGCCTACCTGGACACTGGTTCATTGTTTTGTTCTCGTTATTCGTCTAAGGTGAACTCGTAATAGTTCAAGCATACCTAGAGACGAGCGTAACACTTTCATATCTAAATCTTAGAGTAGAAATCGTCAAAAATTTTCACTAGTCAGTGTCTTGTATCTAGAATTGATTTGTTTTAATATTTAGCATTGGGGATTTAACCTACAAACTATTAATTTTAAACCAGACATTGTCAAATCGTAATAATAGGCTTTGCTGAAACACAATAGGCAAATATATCTATACTGTCAATGTTTCTAATTTCTATCCCGTTTACTTTCAAGACCAATTTTCTTTCAAATTACAATATGGAACATTTTTAATTGACAATTTGAACTAGTACTACAACACCACTATGCCTACATTGTATTCACTTCAAGTATGTTCGATTAAAATTATCAATGAATGACGTAAAACAGTGCAAATCTAATCAATCATTGAGAAAAACATTGAGAAGAAATGGAATCAATTCTCTATCCCAGCTAATCAAAACTACTTTGTTTAAAAGTTAATCATCGAAATCAGAAAATTGATTTGCACAACACTTCAAATTGGCTGAAAATATTGTATCAGTAAAAAATAATGTCATTTAAATAAGTTAATTTTGCGTAACATAAAATTGTTCATTTGAAACATTTGTTTTGTAAATGTAACTTTTTTAAATTGTATGACAACAATGAGTTGGATGTGTTTATTGCGTTTATGAACATGACCTTGAACAAGTCAATAATCACGTGAAATACACAGATTGTTTATAAAATGTTACTAGTAATTAATTAATTAATTAATTAATGATCAGCTGAATTCATAGTCACACTCATGAAGTCATTAGCATTCATACAAATCAAAAAAAAAGTTGTATCATAATCTATATTTAAGAAATTCAATTTAAGGCAACTAAAAATTAGAGATTAACAGATTTAGTATGTATAAGTTAGTAAAAGAATGCATAGAACAGGCTAGACTGAATCCAAAAATCACGAGACTTCTCGAAAAACGAACACCCACTAAAAGTAGACCGATGCGCAGGCATTCAGTTGTTTGCGTGTCCAGTTCCACTCATTACGTAATATTGTTCAACCATCTTTGAATGCTTCATACGAGACACAGTTGTACTTCACTGATCAATAGAGCTCCGAGCATCTTCAGTTCAGTCATCTGTAAACCATTGGATGTCACTTCACTGATCTATAGCTTAAGTACGCACCACATCACCTGATGTCCAATGGTTCGAATCCCTGTGCGGTTATGGTATAAAGTATTAAGTAGTCCCATACATGGACGAATTTCCCTACATAAAACTGGCAACAACATCAATCTGTCAGCTATGCGTGCAGAAACTCGAAAAGTTCACTTCTGTTTGAAGTTTCATGTTGATGTTTAACTTTTAGATTGTTAACCGATAATCGGACAATTAGTGATATTCCTCAAATATCATTTATTACTTGTTGTAGGCAACTGCGTCACATTTGGTGTAGTGAACGAGAACACAGGTGGGACAACCGAACTGCATTTAACGAAAATTACAGAGTTACTCAGTAAAATTGGAAAACCATATCGTAAATCGTTCATTTGCAAAACATCAATCCATCCTATCGAACTGGACTGTTCCTGTTGCAAAACATCAATGCATTGTCACTATTCATGCGTTTCATACAAATTCCATCGTTTTCTAACTCTTCCCTTCTTGATCTTCTCCCATCTTCTGCTGCCAGACATTACGTTGACACTCACGTCATATACTACTTATAAGTAGCTCACACCACATTGGTATGTTTACACTTCATTAATTACAGTTTCCCACTAGAACGTCTGCAACTACCTATCGACATTCAATATTCAAGAGCACATGACTATTATTAGAATGGTGGAGAGTGAGCTTTGTGAAAATTATCAACTTTTCAAAGCTTACACTATTGGTGGCTGTTAGTTAAGCTATCACTTACAACTATGTAAAACTAGTTGACATTAAATGATGATTCTTACCCGAATGACTTTGATATTGTTTATTAAAATTATGATCATGAATTTCATTATACCAGTTCTGTGTAGCTTGAATGCCTATAAAAATATAAAATAAAATAAAATTGAACTATTTAAATACAGATTGGTTAGATAGAAATGAGTCAGGTGATATTACTCTAAGAATCACTTTAAATAATATTAACATTGCCAGACTAGAAACATGGTTATATTTCCTAGTATTAATGTAAAACTTCTTTTTTTCAACAAACAGAGAAGTTCAAAATTATTTAGGCATTATTCGTGAAATCGTTTAGATTTCAATAAAACTCATGCAACTAGGCAACAGTTAAACTATTTAACATGAAGACTGAATGAAGTTCACTGCTTGGAATCATTTCATCAATGAGTTGTTTTAGTCTAGATTAAGTTTATTGTGCTTTCCAGTTGGTCTACAGTAATATTTTAATTCGGAATGACTGGAGAATCTTTTAATACTAAGCAAAATGTCAAGACTCAGATAGACCGGACATGACAACTTTTTAACGTTATGTGAGTTTATAACCCTTTAACTTAAATCAAATTTTAAAAGGAACAACTCTATTTTAGTAGTTACATGCAATAACCTTGAGGTACATAACAAAGTTAGCAAATTGAAAATGCAGACAACCAATCAGATATCAATAAACATTCTTGGGGAAATATGAACTAGGAAAATATCATCAGGGTTATCATTTTGAAAAAAAAACCCAATTTATCATGACAAAGTGTACTAAATAACCTGATCGCTTCTTCATATTGTACATTTCATATCTCAATAGAACAAGTATTTATTCCGTAATTGCACTAGAATTAAGACCATCATTAGATGAAAGAAAATTTCATCTTTGAAATGAAAAGATCATACTTATCCGATAACAGACAATCATGTTATACTCCAGACATTAAGTTTAACGATTAAAAATTATTATCCGCCACAAATATTTGCCAATCAGCATAAAGAACTGTTATGTTCGTCACTAGGTACGCTTGAAGCTGTTACGAGTTCACCTCAGTCGATAAACACGAAACGAGACAATTACCAGCGTCCAGGTAGTCTACCTTGAATCCCAAGCTGTTAACAGAAGACTTGGTAAGCGTAGAAAGTATAATCTAAAAACACACAGCAATCACAATACAATCAAGCACACAACTCTCGTTTATTCATACATCATAGAAACGTCGTTGAGACAGTTACGAAAATAGCACCCTGAAATACACAGCAGTCAATCACAGTCATGGATTTTCCTTGTGCGAAATGGGATCTCAAGGTCAACTGATCAGCCCATACTCTCAAACTTGAAATCCAAAATGAAGTGAGTTCTGGGGATCTAACATTCCCAACAAAAACATAAGGAGTATTATTTTTCTCTCAAAAATAATGACAACGCTTCAATATCATCGAATGATTAAATGTCGAGAAACACTGATGATACAATAATTTTTGGCTCAAGATATTTGTTAAGTCACTCAATGGAATTGAAACCACTTGGTACGACAGGAAAAACAGACTACTGATAATATCTGAACTGGTGTAATCAAGTCACAGTTACAAGAGATCAGTTTTATGATTTCTCGCTAACCCGAATATCGATCAGTTCATCAATATCACCAGTAGGTAATCTTCGAACATTCATCGATACATCTATCAATGGATAACGTTGAAGAAATCATTTCTTATTGGCTGTCTAGCCCTCTTCTTAATTATTGTCCAATAAGAAAATAAAGATTGAGCTCTGAATAGTGGACGATAAACTCGCCCTAGCATGGGATTTCGTCGCAGTGCTGGACCATCGGTCATCGGTTCTATCCTTAGTGTTACAAGGGTGGCAGATACGTATTGCTGAAGAGTTCTTTACTGTAACAAAACGGTTGTCTAGCTATTTTAGGTTTTCAATAGTTGTCTGATTTCGATCGGTTCGCGAGTTCAACAGAATACATAAATATTCGTCAAAATCGAAAGCTTAACAATGTGCAAACTATCTGGGTATTCTATTTCTTGAAACATTTCACAGAAAAGAACATGAAATTTCAGTTACATATGACAGCTTATTGAGCGCATAGAATCAAGCCGATATTTCTAAATTAAAAAAGAATGCTAATTCGATTGTGACTCAAAAATAAAAATGAAACCAAATTTTTCGAAACTAAAAACTGAACATTATATATGTATATGTATCCAACCGGACATCTCTGCTTTCCCCGAAGATTGTGCATAAGCCAAATTTTCACCATATCCAACACACATGCTATGTTTGATAATCTTCATACGTGCAAGATACTCAGTCCAGGATTGTGCTTCTCTGGCAAGTCTTGCATCGTATTTCAATGGAGGACATCCATGCAATGCACGTAATCTGAGTGGAAATGTGAAATAAATAAACCAATAGAAAATTCATTCGATATCATATAAACAAAATGGATATGCGTTTGCTGTCAATGAAAACGTTTAAACCAATGAGTTCCATTAAGTTTAACATTTGAACTTCACATAAATGATATGTGATATGATATGACGTGAAAGTCAACGTAATGTCTGGCAGCAGAAGATGGGGGAAGATCAAGAAAGGAAGAAGAGTGGGAACACAATGGAATTTGTATGAAACGCATGAATAGTGACAATGGATGGATGTTTTGCAACGCAAACAGCCCAGTTCGATATGATGGACTGATATTTTGCAAATGAACGATTTACGATATGGTTTTCCTATTTTACTGAGTAACTCTGTAATTTTCGTTAAATGCAATTCGGTTGCCCCACCTATGTTCTCCTTCACTACAATAGTACCTATAGGTAATAGTGTTATTCGTTTCACACAAATTCAATTCATTTCCAGAGTTTCATGTAGAAAAAATTGAAATTATATACATATTATCCTGTTAAAATAAATTCTACCCAAAGTTTGTGCTGATAATGTTGTTCGTAAGAACGATTAGAAGCTTCCTCACCAAACCATCTCGCTTAAAGGATGAAACTGCATCAGGATTGGTATACAGTCTTATAGATTATCTAACTTACTCATTGTTTTTAGCTAATAATGTTGATGACAACTTCTAAGCACATATTGTTAACTTTAGTTTTACATTTTTAGAGAAATGGTATTTTTTTGATTTATTGTTCTGGTGTAAAACAACCATTGAGATGACTAGACAATGAATGAAAATTAAAAAGAACCAGGAAAAGATCTGTCTCATTATACTATGCGACAACTCAGCACTGTACATTCATGACTAATCGACTTGGAGAGCAAACTCTTCACCTCTAGACCATTGAACTGTGATCTACTTGTGTACAAGTCTAACTCCAATGAATTCACCATATTTTCGGGCCGAGTTTTGGAGGTTTTGTGTTTCTACACATTTGAAATCATCAATCAATCACCACCACCACTGTTGATGAGTCCCATACCAGGACGAAACGGCGGTCCAGTGCTTCCAGCTTTCTGATGTTGGTCTAACAATCATTGATTGATCATTTCAAATGTGTACAAACACAAAACCTCCAAAACTCTGCCCGAAAATAGCGTAACAGTGCTCAGTAGTGACTAGCTTCGTGAGGAAATTCTCGGAGTTCTAGTTGAGAAGACGTGACTAATGGAGTTGAACCCTGTAGGGTGTAGGCAGTAACTACCAAAGACAAATGGGTGAGGTTGCGCAAAATGCCTAGATCAATCAGAGTTGAACATTAACACCGTTGGATGCTGGCCCAGTGGTCCCATGGTTAGGCGTTCGCGCACAATATCTAATGTCCCGCATTCATCTTCATATATTAAGAAGAAACTACGGTTGATAATACGAATCAAAGGTTTCAAACCTTGTAATTTCCTGTTATTGAGCTAATGACAAAACATAGACATACAGTGTTCGACCCCATACGATATATAGTGATTGCGTGCGATTTCACATTAGCATTTCATTACTTTGGTTTTCCACCAATGTCAGTTCGTGTTTGAAGATTGCATCATAAAATATAAAATTATCGATTTGTAACAGGAAAAATGTGTATCTCAATAAATAAATTTGTGCATTTTACACTTATATAAATTAAAACTGCACAAGTAAATGAAAGTCAGAGTTGGTTGGAGAAAACTGGTGGGCGGCCTATGCTCCATTGGGGGTAACAGGCGAAAGTAAGTAAGTAAAAGTAAATGAAAGTAACAAATAGTTAGTCAAATTTTTTTTAAATATAAAGATAACGAATAATTTCACCCGAACTAATGTTTTCAACAAATCAAGAGTGACAATTTACTGTCTTTCATGTTGTAGTGAAGGAGAACACAAGTGGGGCAACCGAATTATATTTAACGAAAATTACAGAGTTACTCAGTAAAATAGGAAAACCATATCGTAAATCGTTAATTTACAAATCTTCAATCCATCATCAATCCATTGTCTGACATTTCACTATTCATGCGTTGCATACAAATCCCATTGTGTTCCCACTCTTCCTTTCTTGATCTTCCTCCATCTTCTGCTGCCAGACATTACGTTTACACTCACGTCATATACTACTTATAAGTAGCGCGCACCACAATGTGATTTCTGATATACTGGTGTTCGCATCCTTCCGATGTCAATTTTTCCAGATTATATAATCCATTAGGTCATTTAACTATCAATAGTCGGTTGTGGAGACTATTGAATTTCATTTATATCATAAAGTGGCCAGTGTTAGACCATCACTAGAAACCTGCCAACACTGGACCGCTGATTCATCGCAGTAATGGGGTTCCTCGGCAGTGCACATCCTCAACCTCAAGAGAGAGAGAGCGAATCAAACGCAGCTCCTTCAGTCTCGCGTGCAGAATATTAGCATCTTGACTAGTGAACTGGCACCCAACGGTATTCATTTCTAACTATATTCGGCGACCTCATCCTTTGTTTTAATGGGCATGGTGAGTGTTGGGCAGTTTCAAACCGAAAACAATGGACTACAGTAGCGGAATATCGTGGATTGATTGACGTTAGACATTAACACCGTTGGATGCCGGATGAATGGTCTAGCAGTTAAACGTTCATTTTCACGGTCATGGATTCGCGCTTCCGATGAACCCCACATTATGACGAAACAGCGGTTCAGTGCTTCCAAGTTTCTAATGATGGTCTAACACTGATCAACTTATGACCTCAATTAAGGTCTTTTCATGGATGCGCACTGATGACGAGTCCGATACCAAGACGAAACGGCCCTCCAGTGCTTCCAGGTTTCTAATGGTAGTCTAACAATGATTGACTGATGATTTCAAATGTGTAAAAACACAAGCCTCCAAAGCTCTGCCTGAAAAACATTTTAGTTTGAAAACTTTAATTAATTCTGAAGCCATCAAATTTAATTCTATGTTCGGTAACTAAAAAACAAAGAGAATGAAATCGTTAATTCAACGTAATCTCTCATGCACAGCGCTTACTTATTAATTAGACGGAATAATACACGAAAATACTTGATACCGAACATCAATTAAATATTGAAAAAGTTTACCGTACAAATTCATGATTATGTATCCTATCTGTTCAAACAATTATGCATCTATTTTACTCAACACTCTTTTTTTATGAATAAAAACTGAACACCAATAAAATACTTTTTTTCATTGAAGGTTTAGTATATTCCATTTGAGAAAAAAATCTTAACATCAAGCGAATTCAGTTGATTCATATAAACAGTAAATTGTATCATATTTCACTAAAAAAACTGATGAATTGAAATTTGAATACTGCGTATGTTAAATAATCAATTTACTGATACTTTGACTAACATAATTTGACTGTAACTAACTCAAAAAATGATCTGAACAAAATGTCAATTTACGATTTCGATTCACAGCATTAAAACAAATCACTTAAATAGTAATCAACATGAAGTAAGTGTTTTGTGATAGGAAAGATTTGTAGATGATGACAAAAACTCAAAAGTTTCTTTCAACTGTCAGAACTATGTAATGCCTTAAATTATTATTCATATTATTTCTTAAGAACAGAATGACAACATTGATAGAGTTACACACAGTGCAATGTATTTGAAACATTGACCATTTCACCAAAGAAGTACAAATTACGCAGTCTAATCCGTCTTCATATATTTTGAATATTACTATATATTTACGTGGGTCAATTAAACTTTAGATTTTGCATTTCATTGTTTTCAGACTTTTTTCTGGTATTCTTGACATAACATTAGTTAGCATTACGGGGTTGTGAAGATTGTTAAGTTACACATTTTTTTTGAAACCATGAATCGATCCATGTTAGACCACCATTAGAAACCTGGAAGCACTGGATGGCCGTTTCGTCCTAGTATGGGACTCCTCAGCAGTGCGCAACCACGACTCCTGAACCACGCAGGAATCGAACCCAGGACCATCGGTATTGTGCGCGAACGCCCTAACCGATAGATCGCTGGTCCGGTATCTAACGGTGTTAATGTCTAACTTCAATCAATTCACGGAGTTGCGCAACCTCATACACAGTCTTCGGTAGTTACTGTCTACACCCGAACAGGTTGAACTTCACTGGTCACGTCTTCCTTCCCACTAGAACTCGGAGAAGATTGCTCACGAAGCTAGTCACTAGTGAGCACAGGTAATTTGCATTACGGGGTTGTGAAGATATTACAGGCACCAAATATTCTATGTGTTAATCTAGCTATATATTTTCTTCGTAAATTTTTGCATGGTAGTCAAACTAGAACTAGTCATTTAAACAAATTAATTTCATGAGACTCTTGTCAAAAATAAAATAATTCAAAATAAATAGTAAATGATTACTTTACTTTCAATCAATATAGCATTTTACAGTGTAAGTATATTTCTGACCATCTAATTATATCTGTTGGAGAGCCGCATGAAAAATATATTGTACTGAGTAGGGATTTCCATCCATCTATGAAATCCTTAGCTATGCGAATTGTACATTCTTAAATTTAATATTCTTGCATTTAAGTAAATATTTTCAAACCTCTGAGTCGGAATCTTGCTTTTCTATTATTATTTCAACTTTATTTAAGTATTTATGAACAGTTGTCTGAGCGAAGTACATCCAGATTCGTTGGCCAGACATGATCAGCAGCAACGTACTGTGGGAGAGAACAAAGTAGATTCCAGTGGAGGAGGAATTCAGGAAGAAGCGGTGGAAGTGGATAGGACACACACACTACGAAAAGCACCTGACTGCCTCACAAGACAAGCCCTCACATAGAGACTCTCAAGGCAAAAGGTAAAAAGGAAGACCAAGGAACACATTACGCCGAGAAATAGAGAAAGACATGAGACAAATGAACAAAAATTGGATGGAACTGGAAAGGGAAGCCCAGGACAGAGTTGGTTGGCGAAAACTGGTTGGCGACCTATGCTCCATTGGGGGTAACAGGCTTAAGTAAGTAAGTAAGTATTTCAACTTTATTTACTTAGTGACCAAAAACCACAAGTTTTCGATCCCATTAGTGTGAATTATACGACACTTGTTTTGGCTAAACGTACTTACAATAACATTCCGTTAAATTCTCAAAAATCTCTCTCTGACAGATGGTCATTAGTGTGCATAGGAATTTCTATTGTGATCGATAACTTTTACCGGATATGTTTCAATCAAAGTGAGTCTTTATTGAAGATGAGTATTTGATTTCAGTTCATAGATGAAAATAATTTTTTTATTACAAAAAAGTATCTATATCCAGTCATTTGACGGTTTCAAAGCACAAAATTCTAAAAAATTAACAAATACTCAACATTACGTCTGTGTTCGGTGATAAGATCATGTTTTAACTTCCTTAAAGATTTTAGTAAGAACATTCTACTCGAACAATAATTAATGTCCATATGCCCTTGAACTGTTAGCAGGGTAAACGACCATATAAAAACATCATCCCTCAATCCTGATCCATTTTATTAAGATTGATGTGTAGGAATCCAACGGTTCCTACGCTCGTGGGTTTTCAACCCTGGTCGAGTATGAAGCACGGCCCTCCGAAGATTGTGGATGAGGTTACTCAAGAGCGTGGATTGATTTGAGTTAGACATTAGCACCGTTGGATGCCGGTTTCGTAGTCACAAGGTTAAGCTTTCGTACTCAAGACTGAAGGCCCTGTGTTCGACTCCCGCTAGCGGGGATACGCACTGTTGATGAGTCCTATAAGAGGACGAAATGGTCGTCCATTGCTACCAAGTTCAAACATTGATCGATCATGATATCAATCATGAATCATTCTTTTTGACGTAATAACATTTTCTGTGAATGTGGTTTATTTTCAAATAGTCAGAATTCTCATTTTATACATATTAGGACACTGCAACAAGCAGTAATAATGAAACTCTTGTTAAATGGTACTTATGAATTTTAATTCTTCATTTTAAAGTATCCCTAAATAGTTTATTCAATTTAGATTATGGATAACCTGTAGAACAAAGGATATGATTTTCGTCTAAAATAAAACTCATCAGCTAAGTGTATCTTTCTTATTAATGTTAATATTTATATGAACACACAAAACGTAGTACTTATTTCAGTATGACGTTATAATGTGTGCAAGTCAAACCCCTATACAGTAAGAAACATACAACTTAGGTCCTACTATCAGACACACTTAAGGAGTAAATTGAAGCAGCTCGTTTAGGAACATTCAAAGTTCAGTCCTTATTATCAATCATCGGGTAACACATCTTTTCATGGGTAAAAATCAAAAATATCCCTCGAAATTAATCTAATAATTACATAATTTCAATCAACTCTCTGTGATATTGTATTATAGAGTGAACAAACTCCAGGTAGTTTTTTTAACATGGATTGAGTCTAGAACCTTCGGGGCTACTGCTGGTCCCAAGCCCGGGTAAAGGAGGAGGGTTGGACATTTGGTTGGCGACCCCATCCCAACTAAAACTAACTTGCCAAAAAACGCTAACCAGAAAAAATAATCCAAACCATTTTAACTCTGCCCTGGGAGTTGGAAGAAGAATTATGACATCGCGTGATGAAAGCCGAGTTCCCTCGGAAGTCACGGGGCCGATGCCTCTTCTGACAACCAGAGCAACTATTTTTTTAGGTACATGGAACGTTCGTAAATTGTGGGAGACTGTTTCAAGTTGCAGCAGAAATGAAAAGATACAACCTCGAGGTGCTCGGCATCAGTGAAACGCATTGGACACAGTTAGGACAACTGAGACTAGCTTCAGGGGAACTGCTGTTATACTATTCATGAGTAAAAATCAAAAATATCCCTCCAGTTAGTTTTTTTAACATGGATTGAGTCTAGCTAGACAGATGAATAAAAACCAGAAGGTATACGTCGAATGTGTTCTTTCTAGCATGAGATCATTGAACCATGATGTTTTGAATTCATGCACATTTTTCTCTTGCATAAATAAACTTAATTAATTAAGGATACTTTTCATCAATCAATACACAATATAAATTGTTGTCTTTGAAAAGTCTTACCGATTATGTTCATCTAAAGCATCACGATTCAGTTGGTCGTTGACCATTCTATCTTCTGTAAACAGGTCAGAATTGTAAGCGGATAAAATCGAAAACAAAAGATAACTTGTATATATACATACAAATAGGTTTACATGTCAACTACGTAAAACTAATTCGTAAATAGCTATATCGGAACATTTTGAGAACACAAGCATGTCGTACTTATTGGACTGTACATCTTTCAGTCAGTCATGTGATGTGTTTAGTAAACACGTTTTTGCATATGAAAATGAAAATACCCTACTATAATTACAAATGTAGTTAAAAAATTCTTCCTTTTTTCAATTGAATTCTTATGATTCTAAAGCGATTGAAGTGTATGTACATGTTGAATCGTTTTTTTCTGTACAGTTTCATTGTTAAAACTCTGTTAAATGGCATGATCTGTTCTAATAAGCAACAACATTATTCGTCTACATTTTCAAAAACTTTGTAGTCTGATTGAATTAAGTTCTATCCATTTGTAAACTAAAACTCGAACTGATGCCACTCATCTTCTGATGCTTCTTTCATTATAGAGTTATGGAGGTTGTTGGTTTACAGTGACATCGTGAATCGATCATTGTTAGACCTGTATGAGAAGAATGGGAGCACTGGACGGTTGCTTCATCCCGCGAGGGGGAATTACGGATGCGCACTGCTGGAGGGTCCCATAGTAGTAGGAGACGGACATCCAGTTGCTTCCAGTTTTCTAATGGCGGTCTAACAATAATTGATTCACAATCTTGACTTATAGTCCATTGATTTGAGCTTTGAAACTCCTGTCGAATAAATTAGAGCAACAGATATAAACCCCCACCGCAGCTACTACCTTGACGTGGTGGTCGGGCTTGCTTATCGTGATGATCCGACAGACCTATATTGGCCGGAACATATGTTCTTGAAGGTTCTACTATGCCAAGCAGGTAGATTGGAGAACGATGAGACTAAAAGCAGCTACTCAAGGTCCGAAGGCGAAGTCCTACTGCTCACTGTAGAGAGATGTGACAACAGTGAGGTGTTTCCCTCAATCAACCTGCATCTGCAACGATGCTGCCTTCTCACAATGAAGGAAGGGTTTAGAAAGGTTTGACCCCGAAAATGTCATAACTCACCTTACTTCACGGATTTCCGTCTGCGGCGGTAAGGCCTTTTAAATGCAAGAACTGAAATAACACTTCAATACTTCTTATAAAAAGGCCGTGCGTGACCGGCCTCAAGCAGTTGTCCCTTGAGCTCTGAGGTCACGCACCCAGGTCTCTAAGACCAAAGCTAATCTACCTTCTTTTTAGGGTTCTTCAAGAAACAACCTTCCACGGTGTGGGAAGCTGGGAAGTGACAACCGCACTCATACCCGTAACAACACACGAGACCAAACTGGTCAAACTCAAATCCTTCCTACACCCCCTAACATCTCTCTTATCTCCACGACTAACTCTACTCACATTCCTTTATCACCCCGCACCGCTAATGCAAACAATGCGAGTTCACGAAACGTTATTCCTGGTCTCCTAAAACCCTGTTCTAGACTACATGTGGGAGCTTTTATTGTCCGGACATTGTGTAAAATAGGATTACAGGCTTTGTTAGCTAGGACTTTAGGATCTCGCGCCATCGATGAATGCTGCGTCTCGGGAAGGCGTACACAATTTCCTAGTAAAATCATTAATTTAATTTTACCGTTTGATTTACTCTTCGTGTATTCGGAAACCCTGATGCTGCTTCCCGGGGTCTCGCTAGTGTTGATATATCATTGAGTCCCAGAGTAGAACTAGACTGGATCCCAGTTGAGAGTCGCTTGTGCGCGGTCTGACTGAACGGGACAGTAAGGATTCGGAAAGACAGGGACACTTGTCGCTGCCTCTTCATCGTATCTGTCAACACCCACCACTAACTGAAGTTCAGTCGAGGTGAAAGGTGGGTTTTACAGAAACCTCTTTAAACTTCTTCAAAAGGTTAAGCGTTCTGATATAGTAATAGTGGCTGGTGACTTCAATGCTCAAGTAGGTAGACTGAGTGAAAAGGATAGATACCTGGGTGGATCTTATGGTGTCGCGAATCAAAGAACACATATTGGCGACCGTCTGCTGCAACTATGCTCAGATAACCGCCTATTTCTAGCAAACACTAACTTTAGGCATAAGGAAAAACATCTCTTGACCTGGCTACCCCCAAAGTCGTCTCGATGCTGGACCTAACTAGATCACATCGCCATCCGCCACCGATAGAGGGGTTTGAGAGTAGATAGTAGCTCGTTCTGGGGCACATGTTTAGATTCAGATCATGCCCTAGTGCGAGCGCGTATTTGTTTGAGACTTACTGGACTTAGTAGAGACACCGCAAGGAAACCTGGTGGGGTTCTATTTATTGATGTTGAAGCTAAAAATATATTTCAGGAACAACTAGGAAGACAGTTAGGCGACCAAATAAGTGGTTCCCATCTAGAGGCAGCTTGGAATGATATTAAAAATACCGTGGAAACAGCAGTGATATCTACCAGTAAGGTAAACCATAAGGCTAAGAAGAAGCCGTGGATCCCAGCAGCAACCACGGAACTGATAGACGCTCGTTAACTCACCCCACCCGGGTCTGAACATGACGAAGACCGAAATCAGCTTAAGCGCAGGCTAATAAAAAGCCTACGCAATGATCGAAAACAGTGGCGAGTAGAGAAAACAAGAGTGATGGAAAAGACAGCGGCGATAGGCAACAGCAGACAGTTGTTCTGATTATCAAAGAAACCGGTATTAGGAATCCGACTGTAAGTGAGACTATCTTCGAAAAAAATGGGACGATTGGCAGAACACTTTATGGATCAGTTCAGCTGGCCTTCAGCAACAATTCGGTTACCCACGATCTCCAGTCATCCTGATCGGCAAGTTGACGTAATCCCCCCAAATCTTTATGAAGCTGAAAAAGCTGTGAGAAATCTGAAGCGAGGGAGAGCAGCAGGGCCTGACAGATACACTCCTGAGATTTTTGAGGATGGTGGTCCAGTTTTAACAGTTAGATTGACCGAGATCTTAGGTACAAAATGGGGACTGGGCGCAATCCCATCTGACTGGTTTCAGTCGCTGACTGTCCCAGTCTTTAAGAAAGGACAAAAGTTTTGATGTAACAATCATTGAGGAATAAGTCTAACTAATATAGTGTAGGATTCGATTTTTCCTACAGATGTACTTCGAAAACTGCAAACGCAGTATTGGCGAGAACAGAGTCTATGGGAAAGCTATGGTCAGAACAAGACCAATTTGCTTTAAACTTTATCTGTTTCGACCAATAGAGTGTGTCGTATAGAAATGAATAAAGTTATGCGTCACATCAATATAATAAGATAATAATGTCCTTCAGTTAGTAGGTCATTTACAATAAAGAAAGTTTACAGACACGTCAGATCAGATCACATGGTGGGCGCTTAAACCACAATTTGATTGGTTAGCAATCACAACTACAATTAGTTATGGAAATAACTAACATATGGTATCGAAAATACTGGCCTCGATAATGCTCCGACGTTTGACGAAAGCTCGTGAAGAGCAGACTAGAGAAAACCAGTCTGCTTTCAGACACTCACAATAGTAGTATTTCTCGGCCTTAAAGTGGCATTCGGCTCCGCTGATCGTGAGCTTCTGTGGCAGTGTCTGTGATTAAAATGAGTGTCAGAGAAGTACATTAACCTTCTACAGGCTCTCTACTCGAACACCACTGGTCGAGTGAGACGCTATGGCGAACAGTCATTGGAATTCTTTATTCCAAGTGGTGTCCGTCAGGGCTGCCCACTCTCTTCATTCTTGTTTAACTTTGTTGTAGAAATGCTTTTAGAGTTAATATTTTCATGGTCTTACCTTTGATGAGTGGACCTTTTACCAGGAGGCACTCTTGCTGACTTACAGTATGCTAGTGACTAGTTCTATTCGGTGAATACGCTGACAAAATGCAGAGTCTGTTGACTACCCGAAGCAGCAATGCAAGCATATTCGGGATGGGGTTTTCCCTCTCGCAATGCAAAATGTTGCTCCAAGATTGGGTTGCATCGGCACCTGAACTAGTAGTCATAGGGAGTGAACACCGCTTCATTTACCTCGGCAGTCTCATCAGTGCTGATGGCCTGGTGCCTGACGAAACCTCAGCACGGACACAGAAGGCTCAGTTGGCTTTTGCCAACTTACATCACCTATGGCGTAGGCAAGATATCTGTTCGTTAACTAACGAACGAGTGTACTGAACAGCAGTTCACTCCATCCTACTTTATGTCTGTGAAACACGGCAGGTAAGATTTGAGGATATTTGTAGGTTACTAGTATTTGATCATCGGTGTCTCCGAAGCATTACTCATGTATTATGGGACAACCGAGTAAGCAGTGCTGTCGTTAGGAAACGGGTACTAGGTAGGGATTTCAGATCAATATATATATATATATATATATATATATATATATATGAAAAACACTCAACCAAAAATTGATTTGTGAATCACTGATAACCATCGGATTGAATACTGATAAGTAGATGTGTGGTGTGTGCTACTTATACGAACGATATAAGTAGTATAAGAAGGGACGTGAAAGAAGTCTCACGGTCACAAGAGGAAAACGGAAAGCAAATAGAGCAAAAGCAAGAAATAAATAGAGCATCGACAGGAAGTAAAGGAAGCAACAGCAGGAATGGAAGAAGGCTGGAGCGTTGGAAGTCAGGACTCAAAGATGGTGTGCAAATAAAGTATTCAATATGATGTTTTCGTTTTTAATTGACTAAGAGTGTAAATCAGTCAAATACAATCTTTCGAGCCTGCCTCAATCTTCTCAGATGTACCAGTCCATAGTATATCGACATATGTAACAGTATTCATAGAAATCATTGTTAAGGTTATAACATAGACCAATAACATGACATGCATGTTGCATAAATATCTTTAAAACATCATTTCTAATCACTCAACATTGTTTGATAGTTCAATTCACTCACTTACTACTCTTGTTAATAATGATTATCTTTAAACTAAGATGAATTTCCAGACTCGTCAGTTATCTGGTTACTTCTCAGCTGTGAAACCAACATAGAATCAGTTAATCTAAATTATCATGTTGATATTTGAGTGTAAGCGATTTCATTTGTACACTGTTGATGTTTATTCAAACTATCGATCCTGGAGTTTATAAATATTGGTGAAACAAGTTTCCATTTAACCTATTCAAACGAGTCAGTAGGTTTCCACAGAAAACTTTTAGAAAATTACGACTGGAAGACAGTTACTGCTGGTCTTATTTAAAAAATGTTGAATATTAATTATTACTTTATTAAATAATTACTCAAATAGAGGCTGTTAACACTTAAAGTAAAAACTTTAACGTGGATCATTTCTGTTTTCTCCACAATAATCCACTGGTTTATGGAAACATTGTTGTTCCAATTTTGTTGACATTACTGAGTTAAATTTGAATAAACAAAATCTCCTTTTCTGACTCTGTCTGATCTGTATCACTGCAAGTAAATAGACAAGGTACCAATAGAGAAACAACGAAATATTCTCTACAGATGAAAATGTAATGAGTTGAATTTGATATATATTTTAGAGAAACATTTTAACCACTAACTGTAACGACTAAAAAAGCATACCCAACTATTCGAACATTTTTAAATCTTTAAAAGACTTCACAAAGCCTGAGAACAGACCAGGCATAAAACTGCATTCACTAGGAAAGAATATTAACCTGACTTGAAGAGAACTAAATCAGTTCCACATGATTTAGTGACACATGATAAAAGTTTTATCATCGAAATCCGAAACTAATAGGCAAATCGCAACGGTCTTAACATACTTGATGAAATCTGGTTAACTACATCAATACCACTATTCTTCATTACTGAGTTATAGAGATTGATGTTTATAATCGAAATCATACCAGGACAAAACGGCCGTCCAATGCTTCCAGATTTCTAATGCTGATGTAACACTAATAACTGATTCATGATTTCACTCATAATCAATATTACTGTTGATTTATTAGCAATGAAAATTGACCGTTCACGTCTATTCTCATCTTGATTACCAGTTATACAGACTACAATAAGCTATCGATATGCTCCTAGTTCATTACTGACTTTTCTCAGAGTCGTTTTCAATTTTAGTTATGTAAAACTACACCATTTTCTTATAGAACTTCCTTGGACAAAGCTCACTCTTACAGATGTACGTCTAGTTTTATGATATATAAAGGATGATAAATGTGATCGTTACCGTAGTCAAACGTATGATTTGCTCACGTTAAATTGAATGAAAAGGACATACGAATACACATAGACACACACACACGCACACAATTATTCAATATTCAATCTGAACATTTCACATTAACACGACAAGCGCTCTCATAAAATTGGTTTTGACTAAGCGTTATCTTTCGTAAGTTTCATTCCATGAAAAAAAGTACTAATTTGATTGAAACTATCGAAATTTCTACGATTGAGATAATTTCCGGCATTATTTTTGCATCTAGGAGACTTCAACCTGTTATAATGCTGCTACGTAGCCATTCAAATCCTACCGACGTCCGAATTCAAATATTCCAATATAATCCAAATACTATTTGAAATCATCAGTCAAGCATTGTTAGATCACCGTTAGAAACCTGGAAGTACTGGACGGCCGTTTCGTCCTGGTTTGGGACTCATCAGCAGTGCGCATCCACGACTCCTGCTCCTCGCAGGGTTCGAACCCGGGACCTACGGCACTGCAGGCGAATGCCTTACCATCGGACTGCCGATGAGTCCCATGCCAGGACGAAACAGGCGTCCAGTGCTTCCAGGTTTCTAATGGTGGTCTAACAATGATTGATTGATGATTTCAAATGTGTAAAAACACAAACCTTCAAAACTCTCCCCCAAATACTATTCCTAAATCTCCTATATATCAGAACGCAACACCGTTGGATGGAGTTGTTTATTGGGTCGAATACAAAAGAGAGGTAGGCAGGAAAGAACGGAATCAGGAAGTCTTACAGATAGTGCGTATTTATACATTTAGGTAGAATAGGAAAGGGCATCAAAGTTGTAACATTGATAGTTTAGGACGACCAATAAGAGACAATATTGAAGTATTTGACTTTAACAGTTAAATCGACCATAATTTTGACCAATAGAAATCGAACAATAGGACTATACTTCCAAAAATAGTACTCTTAGGATATTTGGTGAATATCCTAACACAACCATTCGTCGATTTTCTGCAAGATTTTCCCTGGCTTTATCTTGTAGTGAATTAAATGTACTGAACGCTAAAAAGTACAGCAATTTCTATTTCATTCCACTCTACTTTTTTTACCATTGAAAAAAAAGTAAATTGATCTTAACTAGAACATCATTGAAAGCTTAAATCATCGTAAGTTAATCTACAGCTTGTAGCAGTTGCCCTCTACAATATGTAATTTGTCCTATACTGCAGATAGCATTTTAGATGATCCATGTTGATCAAATGAGAACATTCAACAATGTCATAATTGAGTCTAGTGATAACTATCGTAAATATAAACTCCTCACTATTTACAATTAGTAACAATATTCCCACTGTTAATCAAGTAAAAAGTCATTGTCTTTACAATTCATCACTCAATAATAGTTTTAATTTCCAGAATATACAATACATATATATATATATATAGTAAATTTTGTGTTTAACTGATTCATAATATGTGTATGTGCGTTTACTGATATAGTCATTGACTGGATATTGATTGATTAATCTGGTGGAAATACGATCTGTTTAAATAATCAACAACTTTGAATTGTTTCATTTAAATCATGAATCGATCAATGCTAAATCACCGTTGGAAACCTAGAAGCTTGAGACGACTATTTCATCCTAGTATGGGACTCGTCAGCGATGTGCGTCCCTGAGGTCGAACGGAGACTGAACACCGGACCTTAAATTTCACGCACAAACGCTTGACCTCTAGACCAATGAGCCGGAATCCAACATTGCTAACATCTAACTTCAATCAATCCAAAATACTAAGTGAAGTCAATGAAACTGAACATTATCCACAACCCTATAATGAAATTCATCATGTACTCTTTGGTAACTAGCTTCGTCGGAAGATTCTTGGAATTCTAGTGAAAAGCCATGACAGATGGAGTTCATCCATGTCTGGCGTATCATTTATGCACGGAAGACAATGGATTAGTGTTAGGATCGTCACTAGGTATGTTTGAGACTTTTACGCGTTCACCTTAGTCGATAAACGAGAACGAGACAATGAACCAGCGTCCAGGTAGGCTACCTTGATCCGTTGACTCAAAACAGCTAACAAGAAGTCATGATATAGCGTAGAAAAATATATTCTACAAACACCCAACAAGCACAATCAATCCAAGCACACACAAATCTCGTTTATTTATACATCATAGAAACGTTCTTGGGACAGTCATAAAAAATAGCACACTAAAATACACAGCAACCAATCACAGCCAAGGATTTTCCTGGAGGGAAGTGAAATCTCAAGGTCAACTGATCGGCCCATGCTCGGAAACATAAAATCCAAAATTAAGGTATTTATCAAGCGAGTTCTGGGGACCTAACATCCCCAACAATTACGTCGCTTCATATAGCCGATTTATTCAAGCTAAACACTATCAAATGCCATCTCAATGCTCTGGATGTTAAGCGTTCTCAGATGAGACCGAATATCCCTGATTCGATTCGCGCATGCGGAGGTCTCGTATTAGAAAGAAACGGCCGTCTAGTGCTTCAAGGTTTCTAATGTTGCTTTAACCATTGGTCGATTCACGATTTTGATGAAACTCAACAATCTCTACACTCCTGAATGGCAATTTTCATTTGGCATGAACAATTAAAAATGCTATTATGATAGCATGCATAGTCTGTGACTAGGAATGTGAATCAATAAAGTGTATTTCAGCCCATTTGAAACTAGTCAGAAGGATTTACATCTAGATGAATATTAATTGAGTCAAAGTTTTTAAATTTACAGCTGAAAATATTTAGTTATATGAACCCAACCATAAACCAAAGTAAAATTTTATCTATTTCATATATAAAAATAAACTTTATTCATATTTTAAAACAAGGAAAGTAAGCAATTTTAAACAAACAACTCAGCCACGTGTTTAATTCAAAATATATATAACAAGTTATCATGCAATATTAAGCAAAACAAGGAGGCTGTTTGCTTAGATTATCTGTTGTTGTTGTTGGATGAAATGTCTATGAAGTAATTGTACATTGACAGTGATAAGATTGAAAATAACTGGTATTTAATAATTGACAGATACAAACTACAATATTGAGCATTTACTTTCCCGTACCTTGTTGAATTCTTCTTCTGAAAAAGAAGATAATAACATTTTGTTCAATAATAATTCAACAAAAAATGTCGATGTGTGAAATAAATTTGTGTTTTGTTTACATTGAACATTGAATGTTTATCGCAAACTAATAATAATTAATTACTGATGATTTAATGGGGTCAGTTATTGCCATTGTATTTGCGCGACGATAATAGTGAACTGGTGTTATGAACATCTCTACTCATAAAGTAAAACCTGTTATGCCTACACATTAGAACGTCAACTTGATATACTTGAACTATGACGAGTTTGCCTTAGTCGGAAAACGAGGGAGAGGATAGAGGATCCGGCAACACGACATGCTACTCTAATCCGAGTTTTCCAACCCTCATTAAAAATAAAAGAAGAAGACTTGATATGAATTAGAATGTGTATTCTACAAGCATCCAGAAAGTAAGTGGTCCGAGTCCAGAAGAGAATCAGGATCTTGGACTGGGGATCCGGGTCATAAAACGTTACAGATAATGCGTATTTATACATTTATATCGAATAGGAAACAGCATCGGAGTCTGTGACATTGACAGTTAAGACAACCAATAGGAAACAACATTTGAAGTAACATTGAAGTTCATGACGACCAATAACAAACAACATTGCAGTACGTGACACTGATATCTAGGACGATCATAAAATTGACCAGCAGGAATTAACCAATAGGAATTGACCAATAATTCTCTTAGGATATTGGATAAATATCCTAACAAGGCCACATTGAGTTTTAAAACTATAACAAGCAATACTTAACTTCGCCTATAGCCCTTCTTGGGTTTTCTGCCAGTCCCAAGCCCGGATAAAGGAGGAGGGTTTGAAGTAGGGTTAGCGATTCCATTATATGGAAAACTAACTCGCTAAAATAGCGCTAACCAGAAAAATGATGGTCGGCGACCTATGCTCCATTAGGAGTAACAGGAGTGAGTAAGTCAGGAAGTAATTAACGTTCAACTTGAAACTGCCAAACTCTTATTAAAATGATCTTTCGTTAACACATAGAGTCAAGATTCTAATTAGACTTACAAACTTGCTGTGAAAAAGTTGACCTGTCACTTATGATATAACTGATGACAGATAGAACTGTTTCACATTATCAATTTCTATACTTGGAAAAGGAATATCGCGCTAATATCATTTAATGACTAATTAACGTCAATATCAGTAGTAAACATTGACGGGATGTTGTGACATAGCTAAAATGCTTATAAATTTCTTGAATGAAAACAGTCATCACATAGGTCATTATAAATGATAACATCATTTCAATGAACCTTTAAACTACTTGGTTTTTAAATTTCCAACCATACACTAAAACAATTATAATGTCTTATTGAAATCATGTGAAGAACATTATTAGACTGTCATTAGAAACCTGGGAGCACTGGATGGCCATTTCGTCCTGGTAGAGCACTCATCAGCAGAGTGCATCAACAACTCCCACTACTTGTAGGAATCGAACCAAGGACCTCCAGTCTTGTGCGCGAATGCTTACCCTCTAGACCACTAAGGTAGCATCCAACTGTGTCAATGCCTGCCGATGAGTCCCATTCTAAGACAAAATGGCTATCCAGTGCCTCCAGGTTTCAAATCGTGCTTTGACATGATTTCAGTGTAGAAAGAAATCAATTTAATTTACTTCAAACTACACCAAGAATGGTTAAATACAGTTGGTTGCAGGTAGATAAGATCAAAAAAGAGGGAGAAATTTCGCATTATAGAGACCAGTAGTTAATTAAGGAACCAATGACTTTTTGACAGTGATTGTTAACAAATTATCCCTTTTGTACAGATGAACATCAGAACAGAAAAAGAGCTTATGATTATCTTTCTCTCGTCCCACATGAAAAAAATTCTTAGTGTTTCCCATAGTTCATCACTATTAAGGCGAAACTAAACTGAATTTCAATACTGTTTGTACGTTAATCAATGATTTCACTATTGGATATCAGTCAATGTCATTAATTCTGCTTACTTGGTGGAGCGGATTTCTTTGGTTTCAGTACATTTTCTGCGTAATGACCAATTAGATTGCCAGCCGGTTTATAACGTCCAACTGCGTACACTTTCATTCCATCTTTGGTTGATGCATAACCGAATCCTGCTTTATTACTGGATTTCCAAATAACTTGAGTGAAATGTCCTAATCACAGATTAAAGAAAGATACGGAAAAAAATAATTCATAAGTCCTTCCTTGTAAAATGACAGTCAAGCTAAGTTATGCAATCTGTATGTTTATTGAAAATTTAGTTTTAAAATCATCTACTTATCGAGCTAAAAAAATAGTCACTAAAACTTAATGGGGGATAATAGTGATGGTCGTGAAATCAGTTAAGGAATATGTTGTTTTGCACACACAGTTAAAGGTTGTTAAGTATTCCTTTCATGTTACTGTCAGTTGTCTGTACAAATTCTGATGTATCCGCCAAATCACTGACACCGATTGTTAGTGGGACATAGATGAAAAATAAAGCATCACTGCGTTAGCTGCGCGCTGATTGGCTAATTTCCTATCCAATCAGCGCCTGGCCCATACTTGGAGAACAGGCTAGAAAATTCTCCTGCTGATAGCTGCATGTTGATCTGATCCGGTCAGTGCTAGTCAATCACGTGAATAACATTCCAGAAGCTTCCCATGTAAAAACTATCGGGACACTAACGTTGTATCTATTTGGCCTTCACCTTCACCATCACCTTTGGCTTCTTATTTCCATTTAACCTTGCTATTTGGAATATAATCTTTTCCTGTTCAACCGTGTTTCTGATTTCTTTGGAACTTGTCCAGTGTATTGTGTGATCAGAGAATACTAAGCAATAGGAATTAGCTGGGAATTATTCAGGCAAGCGTTACAATACCGATAGAATAGAAAGAACGACCTACGTCTGATTCAAAGAACACATTTCACGAAGTATGAGGTCAAGCGGATTAAAGGCATTCAGCTGTGCAATCTGGAAACATCTCCTTCATACAGGAAATCATTTAGACAAAGTGTTAGTGGGACATAGATGGATTAAAGCATGACTACGTTGCTTCGCGCTGATTGGCTAATTTCCTATTCAATTAGCGCCTGATCGATGTTTGGCGAACAGAGTAGAAAATTCTCGTGTTGTTAGCTGCATGCTGATTGGCTAAATCTAATCCAGTCGATCACGTGAATTACAATCCAGAAGCTTCTCACGTAAAGACTATAAAGATACTAACGTTATATCTATTTTGCCTTAGGCTTCTTATTTGAATTTAGCCTTGCTATTTGGAATATAATCTCTTTCCTGTTCAACCGTGTTTCTGATTTCTTTGGAACTTGTCCAGTGTATTGTGTGATCAGAGAATACTAAGCAATAGGAATTAGCTGGGAATTATTCAGGCAAGCGTTACAATACCGATAGAATAGAAAGAACGACCTACGTCTGATTCAAAGAACACATTTCACAAAGTATGATGTCAAGCGGATTAAATGCATTCAGCAGTGCAGTCTGGAAACATCTCATTCATTCAAGAAATCATTTAGACAAAGAGATCTATTTCAAGGTGATTAATAAACGGTCAAATCTCAGTCTTCGGGAACCTGATACAGTTATTGTGGTCAGACGACTGAAATCAGAATTATATCAACAGACAGAAACAGTAATAAATGTTTCTTTACCCCCGAGCATTTATGACCATCCAACATGGTCAATAAACAAAAAGAATCATATTAAGTTTCATTTAAATATCAAACTAGTAGGCTGCTGTAATCTGTATTGATCTACGAACAACCTTTACTACTGAAATTAGATTGTTCGAATTGTTTCAACGTAGTAAAATTGTCTTCTTTTGGAACCATGTATCGATCAATGTTAGACCACCATTAGAAACCTGGAAGCACTGGACGGCCGTTTCGTCCTAGTATGGGACTCCTCAGCAGTGCGCATCCACGACATTGATCAATTGATGGTTCCAAAAAATGTGTAACTTAACAATCTTCACAACCCCGTAATGCAAATTACCTGTGCTCACTAGTGACTAGCTTCGTGAGCAATCCTCTCCGAGTTCTAGTGGGAAGGAAGACGTGACCAGTGAAGTTCAACCTGTTTTCCGTTGTACACAGTAACTACTACCGAAGACTGTGTATGAGGTTGCGCAACTCCGTGAATTGATTGAAGTTAGACATTAACACCGTTAGATACCGGCTCAGTGGTCTAACGGTTAGGGCGTTCGCGCACAATACCGAAGGTCCTGGGTTCGAATCCTGTGGGGTGCAGGAGTAGTGGATGCGCACTGCTGAGGAGTCCCATACTGGGACGAAACGGCCATCCAGTGCTTCCAGGTTTCTAATGGTGGTCTAACATTGATCGATTCATGGTTTCAAAAAAAATGTGTAACTTAACAATCCTCACAACCCCGTAATGCAAGTTAAATTGTCGTCTGAAATTCAATTGTCAAATGCATCAAGTGACAGTTTGAATGTAACCAAACTGGAGTTGGATTTCCAATCACTGCTGATAAAAAATGAATATTGACATGTACAATCTGTTACACTTTAATTAATACAGATGAAAAATTTAAATATTTTAAGTCTGCGCTGTTACACTTTAACTAACTAAACACTTATCTTTAAGCTATGTGCTTTATGTTGTCTGATATTGTTTTTTGCGTTTTTGTTTACATAAGTGTTGTGTTTGTCTGGTTGATCCGAAGTACATACTTTCTGGAATGATATTTGAGATAAGTTTGTTTTTCCAAACAACAGTACATATCATATATATATATATATATATATATATATATATATATATATATATATATATATATATATATATGAGATAACTATTTTTGTTTAAATTGTTACTCATGAAAATGCTGTTGTGCATATATTCAATTTTATATTGAACTATGATGATCAAGTTATCGCATACAATGTGATCAATGAAATAAAGCATTAAATTATCTTTGTTTCAGTGGTATTTTGCCAAGAAACTAGATATAATTTGTTAATAAATAAGATACTTGTATTGTGGTGTGTGCTACTTATACAAACGATATAAGTAGTATAAGAAGGGACGTGAAAGAAGAAGTCTCACGGTCAGAAGACAAAAACGGAAAGCAAATGGAGCAAAAGCAAGAAGTATATGGAGTACCAACAGGAAGGAAAGGAGGCAACAACAGGAATGGAAGAAGGCTGGAGCGTTGGAAGTCAGGACTCAAAGATGGTGTGCAAATAGAGTGTTCAATGTAATGTTTTCGTTTTTAATTGACTCCGAGTGTAAATTTGCACAATACAATCTTCCGCGCCTGCCTCAGTCTTCTCAGTATCTAATGACATCCTAATGTGTCTACATTAAATTGAACAGATGAAATGAAAGATTTTTTTATTTGAACATTTAGGTGTTAGATGGAACAAGTGGAAAGGAATAAAAGAAGCAATAACTTCGGTATTTCATGAGATTTTGGGCCACAAAAACCAACATCCTAAGCAGGCGATCACTGTTAATACACTGAGTAAGAGTCAGGAAAGGAAGAACAGAAAGACAGCAATTAATATTAGTCAAACACCAGCAGGAAATGTCAAGGTGTACGTTGATAGGAGAGTTAGATATTATAAGCCAAAATATGTATGCCTGGCAATGACAGCGGAAAAACCTGAAAGAGAAAGAGACTTGAAACAAATATATGATAGAACGAAGAAGATGGCTAGAAAATATAATGAACCAGAATGACCAGTTAAAAAGAAGGAAGGCTAATCAATCATCGACATTCAACGACAGCAAAACAGGTGGACAGAGCACTTTGACGAGCTCTTGAATATATACAAGCCCCACTAAACCCACTCCCCATTGAAGCAGCACCTACCAACCTCCAACTTGACTTCGGCCCACGAACAATAAGAGAAATCACTATGTCCATCAGACAAATCAAGAGTGGCCAAGCAGAAGGATCAGACAGCATACCAGCTGAGACATTAAAAGCCGACATTGCAGTACATGCAAAGATGTCTGAAATTCTCCTCATTAAGATTCGAGGTGAAGAGCAAGTAGCAACAAATTGGAAAGAAGGATATCTCATTAAGATACCAAAGAAAGGAAACATTAGCAAGTATGAGAACTGCAAATGCATCATTCTACTCTCAGTAGTAAGAAAAGTCTTCCACAAAATGTTTTTGAGCCGAATGAAAGCATTAGTAGACACAGCTTTAAATAGGCAACACTGGATATGGAGGCAGAATGGGACGACATGATGTCCCATACTGGGGATCCGTTGGACAGACACCATCAGTAACAAGCTACTGTGGGAAAGAACAAACCATACTGCAATAGCGGAAAAAATCAGGAGACGTTTCTGGAGGTGGTTTGGACACATGAAGCAAAGCACCCAACTGTTTTATAAGGCAAGTCCTAACTTGGAACCTTCGAAACCAAGGGGAAGGAGGTAAACCAGGGAGCACAATGCGCTTAGAATTGGAGATAGACATCAATTGGTTAGGCCTGGAAAGGAGCGCCTAAGACAGAATTAGTTGGAGATTGCTGGTCGGCCTATGCTCCATTGTGGGTAATAGGCGTAACTGAGTAACTCCTAAGTAAGTAATAAGTAAAATCGGTTGAATATAAGTTAGACAGAAAACGTTAGCCTCGGAATAGATGTGTTTGATGAGAGGACTAAATACAAACGTTAGAATGGACAATATCAGATATGAGATATCACGGGATGACGTGGAGTGGGAGAAACGAAAAAAATGGTGAGAGTTCTACAAATCTATGTATCTTCAACAAAACTGTTGTAAGTGCTATCATATTTCCCCACAAACTCATACACAAAGCTAAACAGGTTTCAACGAACCACACTACAAAGAAATAAATCTATCAAATCTGTATCAATAAAATGTTCCGAAGGCTGTTGGAAGACGTGACGACGGTAATATGAGCTGACATTGATTCATATCACCATCTTTTGATTGCTCAGATGAAATTGGAACCAAAAAATTTACTGGAGAACTGGACAAATAGCATTGCAAAAGATTGACACGGTCTACTTCTGTGAAACTGAAAACACAACTAATTCAAGATAGCAATCAGCAAAGAGCTCTAAGATTTACAAATTTACCACAACCGACATAAACTCGAAAGTGGTTAAAAAGAAAACAACCTGGACACGTCATGAGGTTTCGGGGCATTAAGAATAAGTACCCGTTTAAACATTGAGCAATATTCAAGAAAGAGAGAATTAGAACACAGCAGTTAATAACAGCTGAACAACAGCAAAGAAACCCAAGTCACAGGACGAACATACAACTAACAAACAAGTAAGTCATGAAGAACATTAAAGCTAATAAGCCAAAATACTTGGAAAACCTGGCAGTAACAGAGAAAAAAGCTGCAAAAAAATGTATTCGAGACAACTACATGATACAACGATTGTTAGCAAACACAAAAGACCGAATGTTGAAATGCCAACATTAAAACAGCTCTATTATGCGGACCTAAACTGTGGAGAAACACTACAACCATTATTAAAATTACAGGTATCTATATGTTAGGATATTCACCAAATATTCTAAGAGTACTATTTTTGGAAGTATAATCCTATTGGTCGATTTCTATTAGTCAAAATTATGGTCGTTTTAACTGTCAAAGTCAAATACTTCAATGTTGTCTCTTATTGGTCGTCCGGACTGTCAATGTCATTCAAATGTTTTTTTTCTATTGGTCGTCCTAAACTGTCAATGTCACAGACTTTGATGCCCTTTCCTATTCGACCTAAATGCATAAATATGCACTAAGTGTAAGACTTCATGATTCCGATTCCGCTTCTTCCTGCCTACCTCTCTTCTCTACTCGATCCAATAAACAACTCCATCCAACGGTGTTGCGTTCTGATATCTAGGAGATTTGGAATTAGTATTTGGGTCGTACTGGGATATTTGAATTTGGACGCCGCTAGGATTGAATAGCTCTATACGTATCAGCATTATAACACTATAGAAAGCTGTTGACCATATATCAACAGCAGTAGAGAATAAACTAGTTTACAACTGCGGAGGAAATAAGAAAAAAATGTTGAGGGTGGATAGAACATGCATTGCTGTTATCACAGAGAAAGCCTTTACTTGAAATCCTCAATGCGAAATGAAGAGGTAGACCAAAAAACCCATTACGCTAATGGTCATGTTGACTCAGTAGATAACGCCATAAGGTTTGGAGAAAACGGTTTTGAGTCCTAGTACCAAAGTGAGTGCATTGTGCACTAATATACTGAGTCCAACTGGTTAGCCCTAGCTTTTAGGCAAACCAGTTAACTTTTTCTTCCTGAGTTACTACTCACTTCACTTATTCGCTTATAACTTAGTTGTTTTTTTATTTGAGTGCGCGTATGCATTGTTTACTTCGCCTAACCAGGTGTCTAGCTTATTATTTTATGACTATAAATATTTAGTTATACCTCGTAGCATTGAATTGCCACCCTATCTTCTCCGCTTCGCATCCAGACTGTACAGAGTGTTGTTTTTCTGCTTAAATAAATAAATTTATCCATAAAACCGTGTTGGACTTTTAAAAATCACCATTGCACAAACAGGGTTCGCCTAAGAATAAAGTGGCAACTGGAACTGATCCAAATATGTGCCCGATGTTTCATGTTGCTGATGATTAATTGACTAAAGAATGTTTTCGGACATTTCAAAAGCTTATGCAATTACTGCCCACTCTTCATTTAATAATTAAAAAGACTAAAACCTTATAAGTAGTAAATAAATTTGTGTGTTAAAAACATCAAACTTCAGTAGATGAATCTCACTGGTTGTGTTATTTACCTGTACCAGGTTGATGTTGTCTATTGAAATCAAATTTGCTAATTTCATCGTACCATATTCGAGTTGCTTCACGACCTTTCACAGTTAACAAACAAAAAAAAACATTTTTATGTTAAATGCACAATAATGTTATCTGTTTATCATAAAACTACTCATCATCTTAATGTTTATTTCTAAAACGATCAACTAGACAAATGAAACTGTAAAAGTATACCGGTATACACTAATCAATTTGAAATATTTCATTTCCCCGTAACAGAACACAAGAAACTTGTTACATTGTGCCAAGAACTAGTTATAATAAACTGATCAATGCGTATATGTCGATGCATATACATTGGAGGAGCAATGAGAAGAATACATGCTCATATTTCCCAATACATTCTAAAGAATTTCACATTCCAAAATGTTACGCCTGCACGTAAACACGTCAACCTGATATGCTTGAACTATTACGAGTTTACTTTTGTCGGAAAACGAGAGCGAGGATCGAGGATCCGGCGACACGACATGCTACTCTGATCCGATTATCCAAACTACCATATTTAGTTAAAATAAGAAGACTTGATATGAAGTGGAACCTGTATTCTACAAGCATCCAGAAAGTACGAGGTCCGAATCCAGAAGAGAATCAGGATCCCGGACTAGGGATCCGGGACCGGGTCCTGGTCGTGGTCATAAAACGTTACAGATAATGCGTATTTATACATTTTGGTCGAATAGGAAACAGCATCGGAGTCTCTGACATTGATAGTTGAGACGACCAATAAGAAACAACATAGGAGCGCGTGACATTGATGTCTAGGACGACCATAAGATTGACCAGTAGGAATTAACCAATAGGAACTGACCAATAATAATTCTCTTACGATATTGGATGAATATCCTAACACAAAAATGCTACAGCCCTAAACATACCAATAGCTTAGCATCTTTCTTCTGTTTAGAAGATATCTTGAAGATACTTAGATAATAAAAAAAGTGACTTTTTCCTTACCATTCATTGATGCTTTGGCTGAAGACATATGAACTGCTAAATTTTCACCATAGTCATCTGCTCTACTATGTTGTAAACAATTTGTTGCAGCCAAATGTTCAGCCCATTTTTGTGATTCATTAGCTAATTTTGAGTCATATTTAAGTTTTGGACAACGATGCAATGCTCTAAGTCTGAAATTAGAAAAAATTATATAGCGTTATGTAGATTAAAACAAAAACATTTGACTGAAAGTGATATGAACAAGAGAGATCAATTGGTTGAAAACTGATTTCAACCTTGATAAACTGCTGAAAATGATTATATCAAGCTTTTATTGAATATAGAACTGTGACATAAAGGTAATAATGATTTCACGAACCAATATCATCATTATTAGTGTTTTAGACATTGTTGAGCTATTGATCAATGTTATATTTCAATATATATTCAGTGAGAATGTTGAAGTCAGTCACAACGACATGTTCGTTTCAATCAGGCCAATTCATTTCACGAAACAAACTGACCACTCATAGGTTGTATAAATGCGGATAAATTTTTTCAGTTTTTTTGTTCTCATCTTATCCCAAAGTATTTGTTGAGGATGTTAGATCCCCAGAACTCGCTTGATAAATGCCTTAATTTCGGATTTCACGTTTGCGAGAATGGGCCGATCAGTTGACCTTGAGATTTCACTACCCACCAGGAAAATCCTTGGATGTGATTGGTTGCTGTGTATTTTAGTGTGCTTTTTTGTGACTGTCCCAAGAACGTTTCTATGATGCATAAATAAACGATAGTTGTGTGCTTCAATTGATTGTGCTGGTTGGGTGTTTGTAGAATATACTTTTCTACACTATATCAAGACTTCTCCTTCGCTGTTTTGAGTCAACGGATCAGGGTAGCCTACCTGAACGCTGGTTCATTGTCTCGTTCGCGTTTATCGACTAAGGTGAACCCGTATTAGTTTCAAGCATGCCTAGTGACGATCATAACCATATTTGGAACGAGTCTCTTCCATTTAGTGATATTGAAACCTCTTTATTTTTTACTGATCACCTTTTGAATACAGATCAATATATATTTTGTTTCTGATCAATAGTATTTTAATAATAATAATAACCAGGTAAGTATTTTCACTGAAATTATGAATCGATCATTTTCAAACCACAACCGGAAACCTTAAAGCACTGGACGGCCGTTTCGTCTCAATATGGGACTCATCAGCAGTGCGCATCCGTTAGTGACCAGATTTGTGAGACGATTCACGGGGTTCTAGTGAGAAACCATGACCAGTGAAGTTCAACCCTGTCGAGTGTAAACGGTTACCAAGCAAAATGGGAGGGGTTTCGAAAAATCTTTAAATTGTTCAGAGTGAGACATTAACACCGATGGTCCAGAAGTTAGGCGCTACCGCATGAGACCGAAGGCCTTGAGTTCAATTCCCCCTTGCGGAGGTCACGAATATACACTACTGATTAGTCCCAAATCAAGATGAGACAGCTGTTTACTGCTCCCAGGTTTCTTTCTATGGTGGTCCAACTTTGATTGATTCATGACTTCAGTGAAACTCAGCAATTTCCATAAATCTTTAATGAATATGGAAGGATTGTAAGTGGATATATACAAATCGCCAGATTTGTGTAACCATGCAATTTTTCAGCCCAATTTTAATGGATGTTGTAGTTATTTTGAGATATAAGCCACAAAAATTTCTGTTTTAGGGTTCAATTTTTACCCTCATCTAATTATGAGAGCAGGTTATTAATCATACATTTATATGTTATAAGAATGGACGCGATTTACAGGAATTCACGGAATACAGTTTGATACCAGCTTAGACTTATCAGCAAGGTGAAATATTTTGGACACTAATGCTTCATAAGAAATGAGGACTCCAACTACTCAGTTTTCGCTAAATAAGCTAATACTCAGATCTGTGGGTTGTTAGTAACTTTTTGTATAAGTGAAATCTTTATCCTGAAGAAGATAAATACGAAATTACATGTTATACAGCGACTAACTGTACACTAAAAGTGAGTGAGATCAAGCTAAAACTTTAAGTATCATTATGACTAATACAAACTGTCCTGAAAATTGTGTAAACTGACGTGCAGCTATTTCAAAATGTTTTTCAATTAGAGTTATGGAGATTAGTGTTTTTACACATTTGAAATCATTAATCAATGATTGTTAGACCACCATTTCAAATGTTTAAAAACACTAATCTCCATAATTCTAATTGAAAATATAGTAAAATATGCTCACTAGGGACTAGCTTCATTAGGAAATTCTCGGAGTTCTACTGAGAAGATGTGAACAGTGGAGTTCAATCCTGTCGGGTGTAGGCAGTAACTACCAAAGACAAATGGGTGAAGTCGCGCAAAATCCCTAGATCAATCAGAGTTGGACATAAACACCGTCGGATGCCGGCTCAGTGGTCCAGAGGTTAGGCATTCGCGCACAATACCGAAATTCCTAGGTTCGAATCCTGGCGGGTGCATGAATCGTGGATGCGCACTGCTGACGAGCATTCCCACACCAGGACGAAACGGCCGTCCTTCAGCTCTTCCAGATTTCTAATGGTGGTCTAACAATGATTGATTGATGATTTCAAATATATTTCAAAATGACTTGTTATCAAATAAGCTACTTATAAAATAAAAAAGTAGCTACACGAACTTGGCTGAAAAACAACAGAATAAACATTCATCTTAGTTTACTTCAACTTAGGTTAGTCACTTCAAACGTAATAATATCATAATAAACAGAGGAAGCAACCCTTTTTAAAATATACTAAGAAAGGGAGAGCAGCAGACCTGTGGTCAGATCTTATAATAATCAATCAAGATTACTACCGTACATATCTAGATTTATGTATGCTAAATTAACTTAAAGTATGTGACTCATCCTATACAGTGGCTATTAATCTTCTTGAAATTCCTGTTATTATAAATTAGTAAGTTTGGGGGAAGGATTGATTTCAAAAAAGGAGGGTTGAAAAACTTGTTTTTGATCTTTCTTTGGCTAAGGAACCATATATACTCATTGGAATGCCTTCTTAAAATATATGAAACTTTCAAAACAGTGGTTCCCTTTGAACAGAGAAATGAGAAGACATATTTTGTGAGATAGTACCATTTCGTGCTTTCTCGTCAGTCACATGCAAGTAACATGTTATTCGTGTAAATACAGTTTTGAAGATAAGGTCAAAATTTCTTATTTAGCATGACATTCACTCACAAGAACCATGGTATACAAAGGTCAACATACAGTTGTTTTTGAACAAATAAAGTTGGACTTTTCCGACCAATCAAGATAGCTTCGAGTAGTTTGAGTATGTGTGTTTGGGTTTTGATGACATGTCACAACTCTAAAGGCTGATTTTGGGTCAATTTGATGACCACTCATCATTAGATGTTTTGCAATGCACGAGGCTGGGTTTCTTGATCGATCTTGAGAATGACGGGCTAGGTTGATGAATCATGGATTTGATTAACCATTTTGGAATATGTTCCCCTATCCTGTCCTCCAATCGGCGATCTGTCCTACTCAAGTAACTTTCTCCGCATTTACATGTGAACTGGTAAATTTAGTGGGATTTGGACTGAATCGGTCTTGGAGACTTGATTGGGGTAACTGAGATCGATTGAGTTGTTGTGACAAGCCTCAGATTAGCTACATCTTGCTTGTATGTGACTGACGAGAAAGCACGAAATGGTACTATCTCACAAAATATGTCTTCTCATTTCTCTGTTCAAATATGAAACCTTACTATAACTGATTCCCTTTCAAACAAACAGTTGTCCATTAATCAAATTGAAATCGATTAGTAGAATAATAAATATAGAAACAAATGAAAATTCTGGATAATTTATTACAATATCATCTGATTAATAAATAACATCACTTCCAGAACTTTGAAAATACTCTACCCCGACCTAGTTTTGAATTTCTCAACACTATATGCTGGTAACTGTACACAGAAGTGAACTTAAACAATAAGAATGATAATAATGATATTTATATCGTAAATTGGATGAGCAGAAAGAAAGACGGTTTGTAAATGCAATAAATGTTAGTTATTTGATTACAGTCGATAACATGCACTGTAGGATAAGCAGTCGATTGGATCTGTGAGTATGATGAGCTGCTAATACACTGCGATGAGTAATTATAAAGTCCTTTGTTCGATTTCCACGTACTGAGGTCATTATACTCACTAAACTTTCAGGTTTCTAATGATAGTCTAACTGAGAATCAATTTGTGATTATCACTTGAAAACTAATCAACTGGTTTTAAGGCATTTAGTGTTTAAAAATGACTGAATGAGATGCACTGAATACAAGTTCGAATTTGATTAAAATAGTTTGCCAAAACATTCATCTGAAAAGTAATCATTTAATTCTCTCTCGACAGAAATTAAGTTAAATATTTTTTTGAAATGATTAAATGGAAATGAATGATTATTGATTTTTATGCTGAAGAATTGTTACGCTTTTCATCATTTAAGAAAAATCCAATCTGTCTGAGAAAAAAATCAATACTTAGACTAGAATTCATTGGCCATGTCATTGGACTACCAAGAATTATTAATTGTATAAATGTTTAATTGAAGCAACAAGAAATTAGCATGAACATCATGAATACTGAGCGATTGAATGATTCCATCAAAACAGAAATAAATTTTTCATAAGTCTTTGGTTTATATATGTATATCCTACGTTAACAAACTCAATATATAGCTAATTCGTCACAAGTTTTGCAGAGCAGACGTATCATAGCTTATCCAGGATGTGTGTTTCGTTCTATCCGGGACTCGTCGACTGGATGTACTTATATCCGGGCATTGATGCTCACATCGGGACTGATAAGTTCGTCACTTAGTATGCTTGAGGCTATTACGAGTTTACCTTAGTCGATAAACGCGAAAGAGACAATTACCAGCACCCAGGTAGGCTACCTTGAATCTCAAGCTGAAGACAGAAGGCTTGATAAGCGTAGAAAGTATATACCACAAACACCCAGCAATCACAGTGCAATCAAGCATACAACTCTCGTTTATTTATACATCATAGAAACGTCCTTGAGACAGTTAAGAAAATAGCACACTAAAATACACAGTAGCCAATCATAACCATGGATTTTGCTGGTGGGAAATAAAATCTCAATGTCAACTGATCAGCCCATGCT